CTACAACAGTGCCATGAGAATGCCTGTTTTTGCTTTCAGGTGACTTAAACAAGAAGTGGGCAGCATTCTCTCCTGCAAATGTACACAAACTTGTTTGTCTGCGCAATTGGCCGAACAATAGGACTGAGTGGACTGTAGGCTCTAAATTTTACATTTTTTATTTTTGAATGCAGATTTTTTTGTACCTAATTCTATACTTGTATGTTCAACTTTCATGATAGAGAATGCACTATAGTACTTGTATTAGGTGAATTGAAAAATACTATTCCTTTCTTTTGTTTTTTACCGTGCACATACGTGTAATCAGAAATATAAAGTGAGTCCTGTACACTTTGTATTTTGTGTTGTAATTGAAATCAATATATTTGAAAATGTAGAAAACCTCCAAAATATTGAAATAAATTGTTAACAATGTAATTAATCACGATTACGTTTTTTTAATTGCTTGACAGCCCTACTAATTATGTAAGGGCTAGACTGGAGGGTGCAAGGTAGCAATTATGCCTCAGGCCAGATTTCTTCCTGCTTGCTCCTGGCTGCATTTGGTCCTGGATAATAGCAAATTACTACCTTCCATGTGCCCCTTCAGCTGTGCTGGCTGGCATGTATGGGGTAGAGCCCAAGTTCCACCCACATCTCTCCCACCTGCTGAGGCAAATGAATAATGGGCTTGCAGCTCACACTCACCATTACATGCCTGGATTTTAGGTTTAGTGAGACTGTTCTCTTCCCTCCACCCCTTGAGGATAAATGGTTTGTATAACTGGTCATTTGTAAGATTGGAGTTTGTGAAACTGAGCTTCGACTGTAATTCCAACTCTTAAGTGGTACCTGTAGTCTTCACTGAAGCAGGAAAAGCATCCTCTGAGTGTTAAACATGTCCAGATACTTCCAAAGAGGGGAGTCTGGTGATGACTGTCCTTCCAGACCATGCGTGGGCTCGCCAGCCAAAATTCTTGTTTGTTTTTTTTTGTGAGATGCTAAATGGGCACTTTGAGGGTGAGAGCAGTCAACCACTACGGTACGCTGAGGTTTGTTCCCCCCCCCTTTCCTCCTCAGGCATTGGCTTCTTATGACCTTATTCTAGCACATACTCCCTTCTAGCACATGCCTCTTTTGCAATCTCCTTATGGCACCTTCTCTATCATGTACTCCACTTGCCTACGTACTAGCCACAAGCATGAGTGGGAGGAGTTATAACGGTATGGCAGATTTAAGTGCCTAACAAGCCCAGGTATTTTCCTAGGATACAAGCTAAGTGTTTTTGGAAAAGGTGCTGCAGTTTCTTAGCTGGCTGTGGAACTTTGAAGAGCCAAAACTGTCCGTATGTGAGGCAGAACTTACAGGCTCTTCAGAGTGCAAATTATGCCCTCCTTGGTCACAGCCTGCTGACCCTCAGCTCTACGGGGCCATGCCCTGGTAGTAAGAACAGACATATCTAGTCCCCGCTTGTCCTAAGGAGCCATAACTCCAGTGTGGAAAGACCTGATCAGGAGCAGCAGACCATGTCAAGGAGGCAATCTAAGGGTCAAGAGGATACCAGCTGACCAGCTCAGGGGTCAAGTCCTGGGGTAGACCTGAGCCAGAAGGGAGGAAAAAAACTTTAAGGGCTCATATGCCCCCACAAATATTGAAGGCAGTCCTAAGTGCTCTGGGCTGGTACACAGCTCCCCTTCTGAAACAAACCCTGGGACTCTAGCAATGAGCCCCCACTCCCCCCTGGCATAGAGTGTGTGACTCTGAGGGGGAGGACACAAAAGAAGACACATCTAAGGGACTCAAGGCACTAGATAAAGTGTCACAAGAGACCCTGCCAGGGCTGGGTGGCAACTCCTGTGAAGCAGATGAAAAGGGCCAAAAAATGAAAGGGAAAGAAATATAAGAACTCTGACTCAAGCACTGTCTCTTCTAGTGAGGAAGGAGAGCTCTCCTCTTCCAGGGGAAACCTCTGGTACTGCAGATTACATGGCACAACCAGAGGTGGTAGTACTGCCTCTACGTGTTCAGACAGATGGCCACAGGGCCGCCTTTATGCATATCCATTTCTTCTAGGGAAGGTCAGAAGGTAAGGTGAAAAGTAGCAAAGGTGATCATTCCAGGACACTGGTTTTCAGTTCTGATAGACTTGGCACTAAAACCCCCACTGCATCTAGCAGTGAGACCAACACCAGTCACGCACACCCTATCCTTCATCTAGACCCAAAATGTCTACAGCTGATAGCATGGCTATTGAGAGGGAATATTGCATTCAGTCTGTCCTCCAAAATTGTTGGGACTTGCCTCTTCTCTACATGAGCTTCGACGCTAAAGGCCTACTTCTCCATCTGGACTAGGTTTAGCTAATATCAGGAAAACAACAGAAGCCCCAAGGACCCTGGCATCCCAGCTATTCTGGGTTTCTTCAAGATAGTGGGGAAAAAGGATTCCAGCCCACCACTGTTGCATGCTAGGTGTCAGATATAAGTAGCATCTTACATACTGGGTCTATTGGCAGATAATCTTCAAGTACCCAGATCTCTCAGACCACTCAGACTGGCTAGACCTGTTGTCAGACAAATCTTTTCTATATGGGACCCACTGGTGCTAGAAGCCCTGATCACACACAGTTTTGAATCATGAACATTAGTCGCACCATTCTGTCTATCCAACAAAACCTGTTTCTTGGTCACTATCACATCTGCAAGATGAGTTTTTGGAGTTGGCAGCGTTATCCAGGCCGGAAATTCATCATGACCCCAGAATCTTCTTGCCAAAAGTAAACTCCTCTTTCTATTCCTCACAGAAGGTAGTCCTGTCATTCAGTCCAAAGCCACAACATCCTGAAGAAAAACTGGCATAATCTGGATGTTCATAGAACACCAAAGATCTGTCTTAAGTGCACTGAACTGACAAGATCATTTCCTTTCACCTGAAGTGCCAAGGGCTCTAGGTGTTCAAACTGTGACCAGATTGGTCAAGTTATGCATTGTGGAGGCAGAGAAGGCATCAGGTTCACCTGTTCCTGACGTCATCAAGGCACAAGATCTTTCTTTCTACTTATGAAGTCACCAATCTGTTCTTCCACTGAGGAAATCTGTAGGGCAGCAACATGGGCCTCTATTAACTTCTGTTTGTTAGACGCTAGTGTTTATGGAGAATCCATTCTGTTATTTGTGCCAGTCTTTTAGAGTAAGTTTGGCAGTTGGATCACTTTAGCCCATTCCACGCTTTTGTTTTGACTAGGGGGAGTTCAGTTAGCTACAACCAGAGAAGCTGCATGCTGTGACCTACTGGATTAAACCAGTGATCTACGGAATCTTACTTTAGAACTATATACTTTGCATGATTCGTTCCAGAAACTCTCAGTCAGGACATAACAGACACTAGAAAATGGACTTTCTGTCCTCTACACAGGCATCCTTTGGCAAGAAGGTGCTACATTTGGTGATCCAGAAACAGTTTGCCCTTTTGGCAATTAATTTTTTGGGGGACTCTCCCTATCTCATTCTACTACTTTATCCATCTCTTATTTATTTTCACTGCTCGCTACTTCACATATGTCTGATACTGGGCTACAAAAGGGGAAATTTTTTACACAATAACTTTCTTGCTGCTAGCAATGTTTTCCATGATTCTACCCTTCCTGGTATTGTTAAAAAAAATGTTCACATCTGTTTTGTTGAGAAGCTTTGGAGCTTCATGCTTTGGGGTGTGAACTTGAAATTTGGGAGTGGTGCAGGATGGGGCTGGGGTGTCACTCGGGTGTCATGACTGTGCCTTCTGTAGTTCCTTTGAAAATTCACCTACATTTGGCCTAGTTCTAAGCCTCCAATACAAAAAAAAATCTGTTTGTATATGATCGGTAGATACTTGCCTAGAGTTTAGCAGCTACGTTCTCCAAAGATTCCATCGGCAATGAGCATGCTCCAACCCAGGGCTGCCAAGACTGAGCAAAGCGTCGCCTGCTCAGGCTCCTCCTAGGTGCCGAAGGATAGATACAGTGTCACCGTAAGCGAGATGAGGGATACTACCTCTCTTGTGCTCTCAGTGCTTCTGCTGCAGCGGGCCAGGAAGCGTGACTGGAATGCAAGGGGTGGAAGGGATGACAGAGAATACAAAAAAGGGGGGTAGGATGGTAGGTGGAGAGAAGCTGCGATGGAGTTGGGGGGGGGGAATGGACTGAGGCCATCTAGAGGGATAAGGGGTACAGGAGCTAGGGTGGGGAGCTAGGAGCATAAGTCTAACCACAAGAGAACAGCCCCCTCCAGAACCTGAACACACCACTCCAGCGTCTCAATAGTCTTCGGCTGTTGGCAAGGAGCAGCGAAACCCTCTGGAAATACATGATGGGGAGGGGGTGTCTGCGAAGAGGGATGGCAGTAGTCGGGAGGGGACAGGTGGGCTACAACGACGGACGTTTGGGACTAGGAGGGGATGGCGGGGGAGTCTGAGGCGGGATGGGCGGCGGGGGGTCTGAGGTGCTGGATGGGGATGAGCAGGGCGGGGGGGGGGTCTGAGGTGCTGGATGGGGATGAGCAGGGCGGCGGGGGGGTCTGAGGTGCTGGATGGGGATGAGCAGGGCGGGGGGGGGGTCTGAGGTGCTGGATGGGGATGAGCAGGGCGGGGGGGGGTCTGAGGTGCTGGATGGGGATGAGCAGGGCGGCGGGGGGGTCTGAGGTGCTGGATGGGGATGAGCAGGGCGGCGGGGGGGTCTGAGGTGCTGGATGGGGATGAGCAGGGCGGGGGGGGGGGTCTGAGGTGCTGGATGGGGATGAGCAGGGCGGCGGGGGGTCTGAGGTGCTGGATGGGGATGAGCAGGGCGGGGGGGGGGGTCTGAGGTGCTGGATGGGGATGAGCAGGGCGGCTGGGGCTCTGAGGGGGATGTCGGTGTCGCCGGATCGGAGCGGGCTGGGGCCTGCCGCAGGGCTCCGTGCGGGGCGGGGCTCCCCCGGCTGGGCCCGGGGAGCCCGTGGGAAGTACCCGCGGGGCGGCACGGCCAGGCCTGACACGCAACGGCACCGCCCCGCCTCCCCAACGCCGCCGTTGCAGGAAGCCGGAAGCGGCGGGAACAAGCTTTAGCTTGGCAGGGCCGGGCGGGAGTCGCGGACCGCGGCGCTGGGACGGGGCCGCTGTCTGCAGGTAGGGCCGGGCCGGTCCCGCGCGGGAGGGGTGGCGGGTCTCGGCGCTGTGGTGGGAGCCGGGGCTAGGGCCGCTGCCGGAGGCTGGGCTGTGACAAGCCGGGGCCAAGGGGGAAGGGTGCGGGGATCGGGCCCGCCAGTGACTTGCTGCCCGAGCTCGGGACCGAGTCGGGAGAGGGAACAGGAGCTCGCCCGGTGAGCCCGCCGCTCCTGGGGGCGGCCTGGCGGCTCCGCTCCAGCCCCCCAACAGCCCAGCACTGTGCCGGCCCCCCACCGTCCCGGTGACCTGACCAGGCCCCGTGTGCTCTGCCCCCGATGCCGGGAGGGGGCAGGTCAGTGAGGCGCCTTTGGTTCCCCAAGCTGGGCCCTAGTCCTAGGGCAGCGAGCATCAGCCTGGGGCTGCTGGGGCTCGCCTTGGGGTGACAGCGCTGGTGAGTTGTGGCCGCGTGCCTGAGACTTGCAACGTCTTCAACATTAAACGCAGCAAAATCCTTTGGTACTGGAGCGAGAGATTTTACAAGCTGCCTTTAAAGTCTGTCCAGATGGAGGAGGGAGTTGCCCTAGAAGTGATCGGCATGGTGGGAAAGGCATCGAGTTGGTGCCTAGGTGACATGGTTTCCTGCTCCAAGGATGGTATCCTGATTTGTTCATGGATGCATATGAGCTTTAATGCCCTCATCTCAAAACTGAACCACAGTTCATTCACTTATTTCAGGGGTTCTCAAACTGGGGGTCACAACACCTCAGGGCGTCCTGAGGTTATTACATGGCGGGGTTACAAGCTGTCAGCCTCCACCCCAAACCCCACTTTGCCTACAGCATTTATAATGGTGTTAAATATATAAAAATATGTTTTTTAATTTATAAGGAGGGATTGCACCCAGAGGATTGCTATGTGAAAGGGGTCACCAGTACAAAAGTTTAAGAACCACTGAATTATTTTATGTTTTTAAATCTTGTAGCCTCTTCGACTAGGCACCTATGGGGAAAGAGTGGGGGGAAGAGAGGAGGAGGTGGGAACCATTATCTTTTGTGGAATATAAGCTTTCAAACTTTCATTTAAGAAAATAATTCCATCTGTTGGAGTAGTTCCAGTTTTTGGATGTTGTGAAGGCCAAGACTATAACAGGATTAAAAAAAAACTAGATAAGTTCATGGAGAAGAATAAAAGGAGGCAGCTAGAGACAAAAAGATACCTTTTAAATTTAAAAGGTAATATCCTACTGAGGAAAATAGAAAGGAACATAAACTCTGGCAAGTCAGGTATAAAAGTATAATTAGGCAGGCCAAAAAGGAATTTGAAGAGCAACTTGCCAAAGACACAAACTAACAGCAGATTATTTTTTAAGTACATGAGAGGCAGGAAGCCTGCCAAACATGGGGCCACTGGACAATTGAGCTGCTAAAGGAGCACTCAAAGAAGACAAGGCCACTGCAGAGAAGCTATATTTTCAATTCACCTAATACTATTTTACAATTCACCTAATACAAGTACTGTAGTGCAATCTCTTTATCATGAAAGATTTCAGAGTAGCAACTGTGTTAGTCTGTATTCGCAAAAAGAAAAGGAGTACTTGTGGCACCTTAGAGACTAACAAATTTATTTGAGCATAAGCTTTCGTGAGCTACAGCTCACTTCATCGGATGCATTCAGTGGAAAATACAGTGAGGAGATTTATATACATAGAGAACATGAAACAATGGGTGTTACCATACACACTGTAAGGAGAGTGATCGCTTAAGGTGAGCTATTACCAGCAGCAGAGTGAGGGCAAGGGGGGGAACCTTTGGTAGTGATGATCAAGGTGGGCCATTTCCAGCAGTTGACAAGAATGGCTGAGGAACTGGGGGTGGAGGATAAACATGGGGAAATAGTTTTAGTTTGTGTAATGACCCATCCACTCCCAGTCCCTATTCAAGCCTAAATTAATTGTATCCAGTTTCCAAATTAATTCCAATTCAGCAGTCTCTCATTGGAGTCTGTTTTTTGAAGTTTTTTTGTTGAAGAATTGCAACTTTTAGGTCTGTAATCGAGTGCCAAAGACATTGAAGTGTTCTCCAACAGACTCCAATGAGAGACTGCTGAATTGGAATTAATTTGCAAACTGGATACAATTAACTTAGGCTTGAATAGGGACTGGGAGTGGATGGGTCATTACACAAACTAAAACTATTTCCCCATGTTTATTCCCCCCTCCCTCCCTTGTTCCTCAGACGTTTTTGTCAACTGCTGGAAATGGCCCACCTTGATTATCACTACAAAAGGTTCCCCTCCCCGCCCCCGCTCTCCTGCTGGTAATAGCTCACCTTAAGTGATCACTCTCCTTACAGTGAATATGGTAACACCCATTGTTTCATGTTCTCTATGTATATAAATCTCCCCACTGTATTTTCCACTGAATGCATCCGATGAAGTGAGCTGTAGCTCACGAAAGCTTATGCTCAAATAAATTTGTTAGTCTCTAGGGTGCCACAAGTGCTTCTTTTCTTTTATCATGAAAGTTGAACTTACAAATGTAGAATTATGTACAAAAAAACTGCATTCAAAAATAAAACAATGTAAAACTTTAGAGCCTACAAGTCCACTCAGTCCTACTTCTTGTTCAGCCAGTCGCTAAGACAAACAAGTTTATTTACATTTATGGGAGATAATGCTGCCTGCTTCTTGTTTACACTGTCACCTGAAATTGAGAACAGGTGTTTGCATGGCACTGTTGTTGTAGCCAGTGCTGCAAGATATTGACATGCCAGATGCGCTAACAATGCATATGTCCCTTGATGCTTCAACTACCATTCCAGACGACATGCGTCCATGCTGACGATGGGTTCTGCTCAATAACGATCCAAAGCAGTGCAGACTGACGCACGTTCATTTTCATCATCTGAGTCAGATGTTACCAGCAGAAGAGTGATTTTCTTTTTTGGTGGTTTGGGTTCTGTAGTTTCTGCATCAGAGTGTTGCTCTTTTAAGACTTCTGAAAGCATGTTCCACACCTCATCCCTCTCAGATTTTGGAAGGCACTTCAGATTCTTAAACCTTGGGTCGAGTGCTGTAGCTACCTTTAGAAATTTCACATTGGTATCTTCTTTGCATTTTGTCAAATTTGCAGTGAAAGTGTTCTTAAAATGAACAACATGTGCTGGGTCATCATCCGAGACAGCTATAACATGAAATATTTGGCAGACTGTGGGTAAAACAGCAGGAGACGTACAGTTCTCCCCCAAGGAGTTCAGTCACAAATTTAATTAATGCATTATTTTTTTAACAAACGTCAGCATGGAAGCATGTCCTCTGGAACGATGGCCGAAGCATAAAGAAGGATATGAACCTTTAGCGCATTTGGCACATAAATGTCTTGCGACACCAGTTACAACAGTGAATTGAAAAATACTATTTCTTTTGTTTAATTGTGCAGCAGCCCTAGTTGAAACTATTGTAAAGAACAGAATTATTAGACACACAGATGGATATGATATGTTGGGGAAAAGTCCATGTGGCTTTTCCCCAATCTATTAGAATTCTTGGGGGGGCGCTGTTCAAGAATCATGTGAACAAGGGTGATCTAGTGTATACAGTGTAGTTGGACTTTCAGAAAGTCTTTGACAAGGTCCCTCACCAAAGGCCCTTAAGCAAAGTAGGCAGTCATGGGATATGAGGGAAGGTCCTCCTATGGATTAGTAACTGATTAAAAGACAGGAAATAAAGGGAGAGAGGTAAAAAGTTTGGTCTCCCAAGGATCTGTATTGGGATCAGTGCTGTTCAAAATGTTCATAAATGATTTTGAAAAAGGGGTAGACGGTGAGGTGGCAAAGGTAGCAGACAATGCAAAATTACTCAAGATAGTTAAGTCTAAAGCAGACTGGGAGGAATTACAAAGGTATCTCAGAAAACTGGGTGACTGTACAACAAAATGACAGATGGAATTCAATGTTAAGTGCAAAGTAATGCACATTGGAAAACATAATTCCAACTATACCTACAAAATGAAGGGTCTACATTAGCTGTTACCACTCAAGACTGATCTTGGAGTCATTGTGAATAGTTCTCTGAAAACATCTGTGCAGTGTCTGTCAAAAAACCCCAACAACTAACAGCGTTGGGCTGCATTAGGAAAGGGCTAGATAAGGGGATAGTAAATATCATAATGCCCTATATAAATCAATGGTATGTCCATGCCCTGAATATTGTATGCAGTTCTGGGTTGCCCCATCTCAAAAAAGATATATTAGAGTTGGAAAAAGTACAGAGAAGGGCAATAAAAATGATTAGGGGGATGGAACAGCTTCCATATGAGAAGAGATAAAAAGGACTGGGAGTTTTCAGCTTAGAAAAGAGACAACTAAGTGGGGATATGATAGAAGTCTACAAAATCATGAATGGTGTGGAGAAAGTGCATAAGGAAGTGTTATTTACCCCTTTACACAACACAAGAACTAGGTGTCACCAATGAAATTAATAGGCAGCAGGTTTAAAATAAACATAAAAAAGTACTTCTTCACACAATGCACAATTGACCCACGGAGCTCGTTGCCAGGGGATGTTGTGAAAGCCAAAACTATGACTGGGTTATAAAAAGAATTAGATAAGTTCATGGAGGATAGGCCCATCAGTGGGTATTATTCAAGATGGCCAGGGATGCTACCCCATGCTCTAGGTGTCCCTAACCCTCTGACTGCCAGAAGATGGGACTGAACAACAATGGGTGGATCACTCGATAAATTGCCCTGTTCTGTTCATTCCCTCTGAAGTGAACAGGATACTGGGATAGATGGACCATTGGTCTGACCCTGTCTGACCCTTATATTCTTGGGGGCATAGTTCATGTCTTAAGTGTTTGTACAACAACTAGCACATTGGAGGTTTTGGGCATCTTCATAATACAAATGATATTTGCTGGGGAGGAGGCTGAAAAAGCAGAAGCAGAGAGAAGGGCAGCAGATTAGAAGCCAGGAGTTTCAGAGAAAAAGAATGCTCCTCCTTTCCAGTGGGTAAGGGCTTTTGAATGTACTAGAAACAACAATGGATGAGTTCCCAGGAAGAGTACCTCAGTAGGAATCCCAGCAGCTTTGGTGTGGGGGTGGTCAGAGTTTGCCTTCTCCTTTAGGCATTGCCCCTAGACAGAGGGACCTCTCAGCTTTGTTAAGTCTTCCGGCTATTACAGGTCTGGTAAATTTTTCAAGTCCTAGGTATTATGCATGCAAAGCAAAACTGGGTCAGTTCCTCCTGCTGACTAACATACAAGAAAGAGCACTAAATTTCTCATCTCAACCAAAGCAGTCAATGCAAAATAATCCGCAATCCATTCTTACTATATACAATCCCTTCCTGAATTCACCAAACGCTAACCTGCTGACAAATAGAGCAAACCTCCCCACCAAAAACTGAAAAATGGTCAGGATGCTAAACCAAAACCTAAAATATCAACATATGAGTCATTGGGAAGAACAAATTAAAACAAATAGTAAGCTAGACTGCTTTTAGGTCCCTGTACAGAACTACTTCCTCATCTGTAATCATAAGCTAGAAGTGAAAATGAAACAAAGTTTTTAAAGCTAGTTCAGAAAGGCACAGTCATGCAAGGAGGACAAAGGACAGGTTGAGACAGGGAGACATTCTAATCTAATATCCAAGGTACAAAGACATGTGAGAAATTATTCCTAGCAATTTGAAAAAATAGGTTTAAATGAAAAATCCGCTCCCTTGCTCTGGGGAAAAAGGAGAGAGATTACAGAGAAGGGAATGTGTATCTTTTCCGGCATTTTTAGTATCGGTTTCCTTTTTTCTTAGTTTTTGCCTTACCTTGTATACTTTTCTTTTGTCCTGCTATGTTGTGTACTATGTGCTCTGTTTTGTCCGCTTCTCCCCACAGTTTTAAATGCACTCTCTTTCTGGGTGTCTCCATTTTAGTAACATCAGTCAGTATCCTAAATCTCTAAGGGAGAAAAGAGTGAGTGGATTTGGGAAGAGGAGGAGGTGGTAAAGACAGAGAAAAAAGAGAAAGTAATAGATGCAGCATACACATAAAAAGAAACATTCTGAACTATTGTAAGAAAAAAGGTGGAATGAAGCCAGAATGGGAAAGGAAGTAAAACAAAAACAAGGGAAAGATGTAGCAAGTTATATTTTTAGAAGTTAAATAGAAAGTTGATTGAAGATTGTTAAAAGCAGATCAGAATACAACTGCGTTATTCCTTTAAATTGAGGGTTGTGATGTTGGGGGAATGGTTATTTTTCACCTTGGATAGGGTGAAACCAGAGTAAGTTGCAACGGTGTATTGTATTTATTTAGGAAGGAATATATGGGCCCCAGGAACAAAGGTGTTAATATGACCCTATAACTGTCCAACATGAAACAGTTTTCAATAAAGTTCAAGGTTTGGAATGCAAAGATCTGAGCCTGCTTAAAACCATGGCAAACTCATTATTAAACATTTAAAACCCCTTTATTAAAGATATAGGGGGAAAAGAGAAAGTTAGAGCATTTGAAATGTAAAGTATTAAGTAAGTCTTTCATTTAAAAAAAAATCCCTTATTCCCTTTCCCTTTAGCTGTGGAGAGTCCTTAGAAGATTACAAAAATAGAAAAAAAAAAAACCCTTGTGTGCAGTCTTTTAGATGGTATTGAAGATTGTAATTACTGTTATTTTTGGGAAAAGTTAGCTGAGATGGGCTGGAGCTGGCATTATTGCTGTTATGAATGTCCATTCGTAGGAAAACAAAACACACACAGAAAAGGAAAGAAAAGAACAGCAAAGACAGAAAATACAGCATCTGTCTCTGGTGTTGTTTCTCACTTACAACCTCACTGCTGGAAAAAAAAACACAGATGTGGCACAGTGTTTTCAGCTGCTCTGAGACCTGACATACTTGTACCAGCATCAGGCTGTTCAGGGTATTGCTTTTAGCTTCCTTTTTCTGGTTACAGGCTTATAGCAGTGTTGCAAACTAAGCGTCTGCTTAGCCAGCCAAGACTGTATATTAAACAGAAGGAAAAAGGAGAGATAGGAAAGAGAAGAAATAAAGTGGTGAAGGAAAAGAACACACAAGGAGGGGTGACGACAAAGTCACATCTCAGGTAGTGTTTGGGATTCAGCAAGTGACGGTGGCAGTTTCATCTGGTTCCCTCTCTTTGGAACTGATGTCCTGATCAGACATTTCTCAGAATTAGTATAAAGAAGGTCTGGGGACCCAGGAGACAGTTGGGATGGCAGCCATGATGGTGAAGTTTCTTCCTTCCCCTCTCTTGTCTTTCAGCCAGCCAGCGTTCACCAGAGCCAGCTTTTCCTCCTGAAGTCTCTTTTTGAAGACCCCAAAAGGGAGTGATGGGCAGAATAGCTCAGTGGTTCTCAATCAGGTGTACACATACCCCTGGGGGTATGCAGAGGTCTTCCAGGGAGTACGTCAACTCATCTAGATATTTGCCTAGTTTTACAACAGGCTACATAAAAAGCACTAGCAAAGTCAGTAGAAACTAAAATTTCAGAGGCAATGACTTGTTTATACTGCTCTATAAACTGAAATGTAAGTACAGTATTTATATTCCAATTGATTTATTATATGATAAAAATGAGAAAGTAAGCAATTTTTCCGTAATAGTGTGCTGTGACTCTTTTGTATTTTTATGTCTGATTTTGTAAGCAAATAGTTTGTGAGGTGAAACTTGTGATACAACTTGCAAGTCATCAGCCTCCTGAAAGGGGTACAGTAGTCTGGAAAGGCTGAGCACCACTGGAGTAGCTCATCATCTCTCCCCCCCCCATTAGGCCTAATTTCCAACAAAACCATTTTGTTCTTTTGATTTCCAGTCCAGCACTTCTCTTGTTTACCAGCCATGACCTTAACATAGTTCTTGAATTAGATCAGTAGGCCTTTTTGTTTAGGTTAATACAGTCTTACTCCCTTTTACACCTTCTCGCGTCAACATTTGTTGTTATGGGTTACTGAGACATTTTATAAACTTTCTATAACTATTTACAGTTGAACTCACAATTAGGGTAAATTTGTAGGCCCAGTCATCACAAGTGCAAGCTCTTGTTTGCACCAAGGCTCCACATGTACATAAAGCATTTCCACTGGTGCAGCTATATCAGTGTGGTTACATCAGTACAAATATCCTAGGCTTAGATCTGATTCCTATTTTCACTGTTTGAGATTTTTGTCAATATTTTGTACCATATTGTAAATGGTTTCCTGTCTGCTAGATTTTTGTCATCCATCAAATGAAGTCCTAGATCTGATCTCGTGATATACTGTTTTGTAGGGTGCTATGACTCAGGCAATTTTTTCTATTGGTGTTGGCATACATTACCTTTAAAAATAAGAGGGGAGGAGGACAAGGGACCTCTTATGTAAAAATGTCACATTAGTATCTATTGGGCTGTGAGATGATCACTTTCTAGTCAGCTATTAAATTGTTTAGTTTCTGAATAAAATTGGTAAGACAGAATTCTTTGTGTACTTACTATCTATGTGCACTTTTCTGCTGAACAAACAAGATTCAGTAGATTTGACTCTTGGCAAGAGGTAGTCAAGATAGCATCATGCAAAGCATCAATCCCATCTTCACTATGTCCATGCCACCTGGCGCATCACAGGTAGTGTGTCTCATTATCTGGAAGACATTTTTAGTCCAGTGTTTTTTCAAGCTTTTTCATAGCATGGACCTTGTTTTAATACAGAAACTGCTGCAGATTGCCTCAGGGACCTGTCTCCTGCCATTCAGGTCTGCATAACATTTCTTTTGGCATCTACAGCAGTTACCAATATGGGAAAATTATGTTTGACTAGTATTTTAGGTACTTTTAGTAGAGCTGGTTGAGAATTTTTGAAGTTTTGGTGAAAAGATGTTAGAGAAGATTTCCACTGCTTTTTGATGAGCTGTTGTTCTGAGTTTTCTTTAATGCCTTTTAGCAGCTTGAGAAAAGGAGGAGGACCCACCAGCATCATGTGACCAGCCAGCTTGCTGTCTTTTGTGCTATATGGAGCTCTTCTTCCCTAGCTCATGTGTTAAGAATGAGTAATGATGGAAATAGATAAAATACAGTAGATTGGAGCTGCTTCATAACATTGGATCTATTTTGCAAGAATTCCAAGTCTTTACCTGGTATCTCCGTATTTCACACATTACAAGATGATTGGACTTGTCTAAATGCCTTGGGACTGGCTTATAAGAAACACTTTACACATAGTAATGTACCTTAATAAGAATCTAATATTAGAAATTATTACAAGTAGAAACTTGTTCAGCCAAAATAATTTGAAAATTCCTGTTTTAATGCTGTGTTGCCCTGAGTACTGTTAGAAAGGCAGGCTCCTGCCTTGTGCTAAGCACTATAATGTGACTGATTAACTGTACTTGATATTGCAGCACAACTTCCTCCATTCTATTGATTTTCCTGTGGTAAACCCCCTTCTGTGTTGTTACAGACTTTCTTTGCTGTTGTATAAACCAATGATTTCTTCAAACAGAGCTGAACATCTTAGGTGATAAATATGTTTCCCTTAGATCTCTCTAAAAACAGGAAGTGCTTTTATCTCTTCTTCCTGTTATCACAGGGCTTGATAGTGCTTTTCATAAGAAGAGTAAAGAGGCTTTTCTTGGGGGGCTGGCAGGGAAGGGGCGATAGGGGGGAAAAAATCCTGATACGATGAATGACAAAACTGAACTAATTCAGGTTATCCTTAATTCTGAAGAGTTCATAGTTTTGCTGTTCCATAATTTATGGTAACTTACTGTTTTCTTTAGGCATTGAGAGATATTACAGTGTTTGGAGACACTGTAATAGCTGGTTGTATTGGGCTTCTGCTGAAACAATAAGATTATAGTATTGGTTGTGTATGAAAAATTAGAGCTTTGCTTTAATTAAAACAGATATGTTGTGGGCCTTTTTAAAATTTGGACAACTTAGAATTTTGTATTAAAAATCAGGAATTAACTCATAATACAATTGAGTTCTATTATTAATAATTGTGGGAAACTATCCAGGAAAATGCTGCTTATCTGGCACACCTGTCGTCAGAAGCAGTTTATAATCCATCTGAGGGCTAGGAATGGGACTCTGGTTGCTGACAATTTTCCTGTCTACCATGGTAGTATAAGAGAGTTGAGCCTGTTATCATCTGTACCTTTCCAAGGACAGCATATAGGGTGACTTTTATTTATGTTACTTAGGCCCTGATTCGGTAGGCTACTTTATTCAGGTGCCAGGGTCTGCCTGTGCAAAACATGGGCATTCTGTTCTATATCAGTCTTTATACCGTCTGGCTCCTCATTGTAGTATCTGAGCGCCTTCCAGTAGTTCATGTTGTCTGTTCTCTCATCCTCGCCTCAGGTGGAGGAGCATGTGCAGTGGAGTGTCTTGTTTTGGTAGAGATTATGGGTTGGTTTGTTTTTTATACATATATCTGTTATGTGTTTTTATTAGAGAAGGTGAGGTGAAAGAAGTGTGCTTTGCAGTTGAAGTGGAAAGTGGCAGGGTTTGGGGTAGTCCTTAGTTCTTGGGGGATGGGGGAGGTCATTCCACAGTCTCAGACTGTCCCCAAGAAAGTTCTGTCTCCCACACAAGTGAGCTTTACTGTGGTTGTAGAATTCCATTTTGCCAGAAGAGTGGAGTTGTTGACACAGTCTTTGTTCCAGAGCTTTAGATGGTCTTTTGGGCATCCTGGGCCCAGGTCATGAACCACTTGGGAGAAAAAACTGAGACCTTGTACTTCATTTAAAGTTCTATGGGAAGCCAGTGTAGAGAGCAGAGGACAGATCTATTGTGCTCCCAGTAGCCTGTGTTGCTGAGAAAAGAGACTGCAGCATTTTCTACTAATTGGAGTTTCCAGAGTGCTGAAGGTTCCATGCCCACCTATACTGCATTGCTGTAGTCCAGCCAAGTGGTGATGAAGGCATGAATAACTGAGGCCAGGTCTTTGTCCACCCACTGGGAGCGGTTGGGTCATTACAAAACCTAAACCTAATTTCCCCAATACTAATTTCCCCCTGCTGTTACTCACACCCTCTTATCAACTTTCTGAAATGAGCCACTCCCATTACCACTTCAAAAGTTATTTTTCCTCCGTTGGTATCCTGCTGTTAATTGAATTATCTCATTAGACTGACCTCACACTTGGTAAGGCAAATCACATCTTTTCATGTATTTATACTTGCGCCTGTATTTTCTACTCCATGCGTCTGATGAAGTGGGTTGTAGCCCACGAAAGCGTATGCCCAAATACATTTGTTAGTCTCTAAGATGCCACAAAGACTCCTCGTTCTTTTTGCTGATACAGACTAACACGGCTACCACTCTGAAACCTGTCAGGATAGGATGGAGTCTCAGCCAGCTGGAGATTGTGGCGGTTGCTATGTGAGAGCTCAGTGAGGAATCCATGAGTACTACTATACTACAGATTGAGTTGACCAGTTTTGCAAATCGTTATTTTTATTAGATTTAAAAAGAATCTTTCAGCCTGAAATTTTAATTAAAACAAATGCGTTTAAAAGTTGCTTCAGGTATTTCACCTGCTCCTGCACCCCATTGCTGCTTTTTGTGAGCTCACAGTCACACTTCCTGAAAGCAGGGGGAGGGCAAAAAACCAAAAACCCACACTCCAGTGGGAAAGACCCACACAAACAAGGAAAATTCCCAGACTATAACTGGGAAATAGTTAAATTGACACTACCCCAAATGATCTACAATTAAGAAAAAAAAAAAAAAAACCCTTGAAAATTGGAGAAAAATCTTTAGTTTCTTTCAGTTGCAATAGTTACTACTTCTAACAAGTAGTTAAAATATTAGAGTTTACAATGGTTCTTTAATTATCTGACTCATGTGAAACTAGCTTCTTGGAACCTACCAATCTGGAGCATCCATACTTACACTGAGGTAGGGCCATATCTTTCAGTCTCCTGTCATACTTCCTGGGGTTACCCAGAGTTGGGTGGCACTTCGCTACTACCTGTCCGTGCCCTTACTAGAAGGAAGCCTTTCTGAGCCTGACAGGGGTCAGAACCCCCACTCTACTGGCCACAGGCAACACAAGCACTCCTCCCTCAGCCTACTCAGGCTCCGCTCTTCCTCTGCAGGTTAGGCCTCAAGCCCTTTGAGGGGCCCCCTGAAGTGTCCAGCCCCTGGTCCACTGGATGCTCACAGAATTCACAAATCCACTGCTCCCAAAAGAATAGTACCTCCAGCTCACCAGTTACACCTCAGAGCATAGCTCTGCTTGATACACAACTCTTATGTTTATAGTGAAAACAAGTAAAAATGTATTTTATAAAATGTAGAGATTTGAGGTGAGCCAATAAAAGTATTGGAAACAAATGGATAAATATAAAACAACCATAACACATGATCTAGAATCTAGACTGACTTAATCCTTCCAGCATTTGTGACAGGGTCTGATCACCGCTAGTAGTCCTCCTCCTGGCCATCCTGGGGACTGGCTCTGCGAGACATTGCACCCTTCTTTGGAAGTGTCTTCACCCATCCTGTCTTACCCTGCGGCCCCTCTTGCTCCAGGAATCTCAGCCTCCTCTTTGGGACTTGGCCTCCGCCTGGGTCACCATACATATTTCCCGACATGGGGTGATGTAACAACAAAGTCTTTCCTGGACAAACCATCCCAGGGAGTCTGCTCGGGGCACCAGCTAAAGGGAAGGACACGTGACCTCCCCATGTGACACCCCCACATGACTCCACCCTGCCCCCAGCCCAGGGCACTCCCCATCCCCTCCACACATTACCTGGAGGGGTGGGGGGGAAGGGGCTCTGTCCTCCCACTGTGCCAGCTCTGAGCATGCCAGAGGGGCAGGGCTCCAGCTCACTCGGCTGCTGCCCCCAGAAGCTGAGCCTGGGTGGGGGGGCAGCCTGCCGTTGCCCTAGCCAGGCTCTGTCCCAGTCAGCCGCTATGTTGCACTGGGCGGGCAACGTCCCAGGTAATTTGGCTGGAAGAAGCTCTGGCCCCGCCTCTTCTGGCCCCACCCCACCTCTCCTCTCCCTCCAGGGCTGGCTGCGGGGCGGGGTGGGGGAGCACATTTAACCCTTCATGCCCCTCCAACAAGTCACCTCTGCAGGCAGGCCTGTCCTCTACTTTGGATTCCAGGTCAGGGGCCCTCCAGTCAGCAGCCAAGGCCTGCACTGTCCTACCGTGCTGCTTTCCCCTAAGCCCTCTCCTGGCTTCCCTGTTCTCTGGGTTCACCAGCCTCCCTCATCTCCAGGAGTAACTGTGGATTAACCTTTAGCCCCTTAATACACCTCCCTCCTCCCAGGGAGTGATTGCTGTCTACTTCCCTGCAGTTCCCTTCTGTGGTCTACACCCTGGCTTTATGGAAGTCTTGCCTGTTTCTGCCCAGTTGAGCCTGTTCCCAATCAATCCTCTACTCCCTGGTTGCTCCTCCAGGTGCAGACTATGGAGTTAATTGGCCCAGCTAGCCATATTAACCCCTTCCAGTCTTGTGTGGGTAGAGACCCTGTCACAGCATATTATATACCAAGGCTTGCCTTGTGATCTTCTGTTATGAGAAAAGTCACGCTGTCCTCTTGCCTCCTCAGTGGAAGGATACTATCTCTTTCCTTGCAATACCAGATATATCACCTCCTGCTCTGTGGCCCTTTCTATAGCTTTCACAATCTGTTGTTGATTTCGCAACTTCCATTGTGAGACATACAATGCACAATATATACTTGACCAGACACAGAAAGATAAGGGACTCCTAATCCCATGCCTGAACAGAATCTATCCACTGCCTGTCACATCCTGGTCACCCGTCTTTAACTTTAAGAACATAATTTCCAGTGTAGATTTAAGTTCCCTGTAAACTGCGCAGCCACGCAGCAGCTGACTTAGGGCCACACAGGTGCTCAGGGAACCCGCTTGACCAGGACCAGCTGGGGAATGGGTGCTTCTCCCCTGGCCCCGCTGCTGTGGCTGGAGGAAGGGGCTTCCCTTCCCCCAGCCCCAACTCAACCCCAGACCTGCCACAGCCTGGGGAGGGGCAGCCTGAACCCATCCCCAGTCCGGACCGTCCGGGGGGAGGGGCGCCTCTCCCCCCAGCCCAGGTGCTGCTGCAGGGAGAGACAGCTGAGCGGGAGTCCTCTCTCCCTGCTATAGCCCCAGAGCACCCTTCTGCACTCCAAACCCCTCATCCCCGGAGCCCACACCCCAACCCTCTCCCCCAGCCCTGAGCCCCTCATCCCTGGCCCCACCTCAGAGTCTGCACCCCCAGCTGGAGCCCTCATTCCCCCCTGCACTCCAACCCCCTGTCCTAGCCCTGATCCCCCTCCAGCACTCTGAACCCCCCAGCCTGGAGCCCCGTCCAGCGTCCCAAATCCCTCATCCCCAGCCCCGCTTCAGAGTCTGCACCCCCAACCAGAGCTTTCACACCCTTGCACCCCAACCCTCTGCCCCAGCCCTGAGCCCCCTCCCACACTCCAAACCCCTTGGCCCTACCCACACCACATGAATTTTGGTTATCTGCACCAATATGAAGGTGATGTGTCGCTCATCACCTCCATATTGGTGCACATAACAAAATTCATTCTGCACGTGTGGGGGAAAAATTAGAGGGAACACTGGTGTAGATACATAATGTCTTAAATATTATCCATCCATACGTTTCCATGTAAGCTACTGGCTCTTGGTAAAGACCTTACATGCCACTCTTTTGTTAATTATTATGTATATACCTGACGAAAGGATCCCTATTAAACCCAGTTGGCATCAAAAGGACCCTGGGTCACAAACTCCTTATTTCAGAGCCAGGCTTACTTTGATATCACAAAAACAATGAGGATTCCAGTACTCCATGAATCTGAAGAAGTGGGTTTTTTACCCATAAAAGCTTATGCTCAAATAAATCTGTTAGTCTTTAAGGTGCCATCGGCCTCCCCGTTGTTTTTGTGGATACAGACTAACACGGCTACCCCTCTGATATTTGATATCACGTAAACCTGCCATTATCTTACTTCCACTGTGTAGTCTCTCAGATATGCTGGACCATGAAACTTATAGAAATGTTGCTTCTCTTAAAGGAAAGACATAATTCCCACATTATTTGAAACCTTTTGTATTATTTTCTTCTATCTTTTATAGTCTCTTTGTGCCACATTTAGAAGCCTACAAAAGAATCGTTATTGAGACCTTTATTTGATTTTTAGTTGATTCTTTCAAATGGAGGAAGGGAAAAAGAAGACCTCAAACTCTGTGACAGATTTTATACAGTGTTAATTTTCATTTCTGGTAGCATTTAGCTTGCCTTCGTTTCCTTTCTTCCTGCCTCCCCATCTCTCTAATTGGTGGATTTTTAATTCCTTTGTTAATTCTTTAAATCTCTGGAGTAGTGTTTCTCTGTTTCATTAAGAATGTATTGATTTTCCTTTAATTTTTGTGTGTGCAATATACTCAGTAACATTTATTTTTTTTATTTTTAAGCTTGAAAAGAGAATTGACTAATCGAGAGAAAACATGCAGAGCACTTCCAATTATCTATGGCTTTTATCTGACGTTCTAGGACAAGGAGCCACTGCAAATGTTTTTCGTGGACGACATAAGGTTTGTGTGGAGTAAACAAACTCGTTACCGTATAATAAATATTTTTTTCAAGAACAAGGATCCTTGTATTAATTCTTAAATAGTCTTTCTGTCTTGTTTCCTTTGTTAATGCATGGAAGTTGTTTTGGAAATCCACAGGCTGGATTCAGTAAGAAAACAATCATTAAACCTGGCACCTGTAATGTGAAAGCCCTTGAAATCTGTTCATCAGCCTTTTATGGAAAAGTTTTTTGAATGTTTTTATGATATTTTATTTTAATGTCCCTAGTAATCAGGAAAAAATGTGTAAGATACGTGTTTTTAAACATCTTTATCATTGTTATTAATAACCCAATCGGTATTAATACTGAAAGCATTTGTAAAATGTACCATTCTTTTTATTTGCTTTTACGTGCTTGCTCCATGCCTTTTGCATTTTATCCAGTTTGGACAGTGAAATTAAGCAATCATTTTCTGATTCTTATGCACAAGTACACAATGCTGTTTCTGGTTCTTATGCACAAGTACAATGCTGTTGAGTTTCCAACAATGCAGGGAAATGTTTAAATAAACAAGTAGAAAAGACTCTTTTGGGGCCTAAATTACTAAACGTATATGTCCTTTTTAAATTGGAAAGAAATATATATCCGTGTCTTTTTAAAGAAACTGTTATTTCTGAACTCATTTGGGTGGGGTGGTAATCTTCATTCCAGATAAATATTCTGTTTGGGCTCTCTTTACCTAAACTTCTGAATTGATATTTATTAAATATCTGAATTTATTATTATTTAATATTATGATAGTGCCCCAATGCCATAGTCAGGTTCAGGTAACCATTGTGCTAAGTATAGGGTAGATTGGTTTTAATGTTATCCAGAGTGCTTAATTATGTCTTAATTTCTTTAATTGCCTTACTAATGTATATAAAAACAGTGAGAAAAATAACCCAACTGCTAATACCTTCTCCTGACTATAAATTATTAACAATCATTTTATAATTTTAAAGAAAAACTGAAAGGATTTTTATCTGCCAAGGTGTTTTTTGGGTGGCTTTTGTTTTCCCCTGAAATAGCTCAGGATATCACAAACTATAAAAGTATATGGAGTTGCACTGCTGTTTGAGATGTAATGGCTATCCAGTGGTGTAGGAAAAATGCAAAATCCCAGGATTCAGGTCAGCAGATAAATAAAGCCCCAATCCTGCAAACACTTTTACATTATTATCCCCACTGAATCCATGTGAGTAACTTTTTCGAAGATTGGGGCATAAAGCAGGAACTAATTTTTGTGTGTTGTTCTAAACTGTATTAATTGTAGTTTTTAAACTTGGCTACGGATTTGGGGCCTTACACAAATTTTCTAGAAGAAGATTTTCAATTAATCTTTGTACAGATAGTAAAATCTAAAGTTACCCCTCAGATTTCTCCATCTTTGTGAAAAATTACCCCCTAATCGGTGTTTATTACCTGAATTTAGATGGGAGTTGAGGCTGTTCTTTGTCATCAGATTATATATTTTGTCTCTCTCTCTCAAATTGTCTTGAGTTTGCAGTTCTTCATGTGTCCTGGCATTGTCTGTTAACAACCCTCAAGTGTTTGTAAAGTAGTAGCTTATCTTGAGCCATTTTTTCCTTCCTGCTTGTTTTTCCTTACAGCCCCCTATTAAACCAGTATATTCATATAATAAACATTCCAATAACCAGATGAACATACAATATTAATAAATTATTGCGGAGAAGCTGCAATTATATCATACTTGTATATAAGTGAAAAGTGTTCTGGAATCTTTCAGGATGACTGGTACTGTATAAATGTTAATTATTAAGACTTTTTTGTACTTGACTTTGATTTTTTTAAAATAATCTGAATATTTTTCTGATAGAAAACAGGGGATTTATATGCCGTCAAAGTATTTAACAACATAAGCTTCCTTCGTCCTGTGGATGTTCAGATGAGAGAATTTGAAGTATTAAAGAAACTGAATCACAAGAACATTGTCAAATTGTTTGCTATTGAAGAAGAGGTAATTAGCTGATGTGGTTTGTAGTAATGCCATCCATGATTCCTGCATATGTATTTCATGTAAACTCTGCTGTATCGGGTAAGGCTGTATTTTTATTAAGAAGTATATAGGAGCCTTTTCCTACTGTCTCCTCTCCTTTTGCTGAGAATCTCACCTGATCTGGAGCCACAGATTGAAAGATAGCAGAGACTGAGTGGTGATACTGCTACTGAAATACATAACTGACTCCTAACAGCCTAGCACATCAGTACGCTTGCCCTGCTGTCTTTAGCATACAGTCAGGATCAGTGCAACAGGCACTGAATCTGATCCACTGCATTCACATGTGCATATTATGCAAATACTGTCCTAATTTATAAAATCTTAAATTGAAATTATTTAAGATCATAGATTTTAATTACACTACTGTATATTTTTATATTAATATGGAATGCATGCTACTGTTTGATTTGCTCTTGCTTGATAATTTTGCAGCTTATTCAAAACCCCTCACTTTTTAAAAATATAAATAAGATTTCAGGTGTTCCACAAGACCATCAGAAGATAGGCATCTTGCTGCATAAAGTTCACATAATGATAGAGCAGATGTAGAATTGCACCCAGGGATGAATTAAAGTAGCACTTTTCAAAGTGAGGTTGGCTAGGGGTTCACAGGAAAATGGGTAAAATGCAGAGGTCGGTAAAGACTTTGGGGAGGGGGAGTAATCAAAGGAGAGAAGTAAAAGTGCTGCTCCAGGCTCTTCTCCCACTGTAGTTCCTCATTTTTCATTTGCCTCTCTACACTACCTGCTACTCCGAGAAGGCCATTTTAAGGGTAAAGAAGGGCTAGCACCCATAATCTTGTGGCCTCCCTAGTTTCTTCTACACTCAAGATAAATTTTAAAATGGAACCAGTTTTTCTTTTCTTTCTTTTCATTTTTTAAAAGCCATCAGAGTGAGACTTGTATATAAAATAGCATCAGGTTACAAAGCTTTGAAAATAGGAGACTGTGACTTGATGTAATCTCTGGAATTATTAACAGTCTTCATATCATTGTCAAATCTTTATATTTTTTATTTTTCAGACAACCACTAGACACAAAGTACTTGTTATGGAATTTTGTCCATGTGGGAGCTTATACACTGTTTTAGAAGAGCCATCTAATGCCTATGGGTTGCCAGAGTCTGAGTTCTTAATTGTGCTGAGAGACGTGGGTATGTGGGATTTAATTTTTTAAACACTGTACAGTTTGCCCTGTTGCTCAGCTGTTGTTTGGTTTAGTTTGGAATTGGAGTATTAAAATTCCTAGTTTGACAATATAGATGAAATCCTGTGGATTATAGTATTACTTTTAATCTATATCAACAAATGTAGTTGCATTATAAAACTATGATTTTTTTTCTAAAAATTAGATTTTTTTAAATGCAAAGATTTTTTTTTTTTTTTTTTGGTCACACACTGGACTTCCTTCTTGACAGATCATCACATAATAGATTACGGGGAGTAATGAAGTCCACCATTGTCTGCCCCTATCACCGCAGGAAATCTGGCAATTAAAATACGTCCACTTTATCTGCTCAGTGTTCCAAAGGATGATGGCAAAACCCATTGTCATCTGTTGTTTCCTACATTGTAGACATTCCTCTGGGAAGAGAATAAGATCACTAAGGATTATAAACTCTGACCTAAAATAATGGAAGAAAATAAGTTTCAAGAAAGGCATTTTTGAGAGCAAGATGTACCATTATTTGCTGTTTGAAGAAGAAAAGGCAAAGATTATTAGAATAGAGACAATAGGATATTCTAATCCTAGTAGCAGTACTGGTCTTTGCCCTTTTCCTTTGCACACACTGAAAAACCATAGTCTGTGAAAGTATATATGCTTTTTTGGTATTTTAACATTTTTCCAGCTGGTTTTGATACATATGTACTAAATGCTGTACAACTCTGTATTTAAGTGGCTGGGATGAATCATCTCCGAGAAAATGGAATAGTGCACCGTGACATCAAACCAGGCAATATAATGCGTGTTATAGGTGAAGATGGTCAGTCTGTTTACAAACTGACAGATTTTGGAGCTGCGAGAGAGTTGGAAGATGACGAACAGTTTGTTTCTCTCTATGGTACAGAAGAATATTTGGTAAGCCATTTAATTTCTTACTGATGGACTTGTTGAAGCATGGGATATTTCTTAGTGAAAACTGAATAGCTGAGAGACAGAACCCCAGTTGGGAATTCATTTACCAATGACACATCTAGTCTGGTAGTTACTTTATAACATCAATCCTACCTTTTGCACCTTGTGTCATGCCAGGCCTCCACTGATCTGGGGAACAAGTGTGCTGAGGTCATTTCCTGACTCAGATTCTCCATGTTTCACTGGGTGATATAAAGAATTGTAGCATAGATTTATTAGAGCTTCTTTGCCTCTCCCTCTCTGGATATTTTTAAATGTTCTTGTGAACTGTTTGGATGATGCTGCGTATTGCTCAGATCCACTTTCCTGATATTTGTATTGACAAGCAGCGTGCAAGAGCACTGTAACTTGGAATGTCCAGTGTAGTGTTTTAAAGTCAGAGTACTTTAATTCCAAAAAGTGACAGGTGAGGGAGCCAGTATATCTAAAATACTTACATTGAATTTGAAAGTAAGTATATTTTTGTGGAAAAACAGAAAGAAAACAGTTGTCCCCTCTGCTTCTGTTTCCGTGCCCCTCACATGCCAGTGTGCTAATAAATGTTCTCAATGCTCTTTCTCTCTGTTCTTAATGCATTTTCTGAAATAGTAGTTTTTGTAGTGTTTCTCTTCCTCTCCTTTTGTGCGGCTTTTATCTCCTAATCTGTAATTTCATCTGAATTTTCTTGACTAAATTCCCTTTATTTGATTTTGAACTTTATTGTAACAAGGGTGACTATAAACGGCTACTGGCTCAGGCTGAACAATTTTGCAGTATGATCTTGAAGTGCCTGTAGTGTGAAAAGCTTATGCAAATTCTACACAGCAGATGCTAACTTCCCTTTTTGATGAAAGAAATGCTTAGAAAGGTGGTGTATCCTGCTGTGGTTGCTCGCTTGAGTTTTGGTCTTTATAGTTGTTTACAAAGCAAGTAGTTCTAAGTTTTCCCCTTTTTTCCCCTTAAGCATCCTGATATGTATGAGCGAGCAGTGTTGAGGAAGGAGCATCAGAAGAAGTATGGAGCAACAGTTGATCTGTGGAGCATAGGGGTGACATTTTACCATGCAGCAACAGGGAGTTTACCATTCCGACCTTTTGAAGGGCCTCGCAGGAACAAGGAAGTGATGTGGGTAATTTAGAGGGAGAGTTCTGTCTGTTCATAAATGAATTCAACCAATAAAAATATCTATAACAAAGAGTTCTGTGCGCACACACACACGTTAAACAGTGTAAAAATAATGCAAATAGTAGGCAGATTTCATATTTAGCAAGGCTAGTGCCATGGGAAGATTTCATATTTTACAAGACTAGTACCTTGTGTGGTACATTAGACCTAATGATGCAGCAGAGCCTCCAGAAAATTGTGACACAACCTTTTGAAGCCTCTTGCCTTCTTTGCTGCACTCGCGGTCCAGTACAATTTGTGAAATCTACCTTGTGTAATTTTCTTAGAGACTACAAAATTAATTGAATGTAACATAAGATCTTATATTTTCAGAATTTCAAACTTCTATTTTAACAAGTAGCTGCCATTTAGGTGTTTTCAAATGACCGCCAGAAATTTGGCCAATTGGGAGTTCTGGCATTGAGGAAAGTATGGGAGCTGTTTTTGGTATCCAGGAGGCAGTAAAGTCTTTTGCTGCTGAGGAAGAAATGCATCTTGTCTTTCCCTCTCCCTTTGCAGACAGGGATTTGGGATAAATTGGAGTTAGAGGCTTAATATTTTTTAAATGAAAGTTCAGATTCTAGAGTGTAATTATGCAGCAACTTAAAAATCAGCTGTTCAGCAACAGTTTATGCAGCTGCATAATTGAATAATGTACAGGGCCTTACTATCATATATTGTACATTTAATTTTTCAGACAGGCTATGAAGAATGAAAGCAGTTGTCTCTGATGTCAGTTCGCTGTTTGAATCTTCCTTGTCTCTACACCATGTGTGTATAAAGTAACATTTCTCCTAGAGCTAAATAAAATTTAATGCAGAGTTCTCTCCTTTCACACTTATTCCTAAATTTTCTGGTCATAGTTGGGAAAAAATTGTGACTGTACAAATTTGTGCCAAAATCTGTGGCTATTTTAATATTAATGTAATCTCTGCTGAACCCAAGCTGTATTCCTTTTCTCCCAAATGAACATTTTTGGTAATTCCCTGGAACGTTGCAAGTTGAATTCAGTAAATGCCTGTACTATACGGACATAAAAATGACTTTGACAGTTTTATTTTTTCCAGTGAGTTCCTGGATCCCCTCCCTAATTTTTCTCAATCCCGAGTCAGCCAGAGGGGCTTCTCCAGTTCAGCATAAGGTGTTTCTTTTCATGAAACATTAAGTGTATTATTTCAGCACCTTTGCCAATCTGGAGATGAGCCCTGAACATTGTACTCCTATTGAGCAGCAGATTGGTCTAAATTCTTGTACTCGCTTTAGACTTTTTATTTACATTACAGGGTCCCATTAGACGATCCATTTACTAGACTTGTACTTGAAGAGATAGTAATTAAGGATTGCATATTTATTTTGCATATTTATTTTTGTAATATCTCATAGGTATAAAATAATCACTGGAAAGCCTTCAGGTGCCATATCTGGAGTACAGAAAGCAGAAAATGGACCAATTGAGTGGAGTCGAGACATGCCTATTTCCTGTAGTCTTTCTAAGTAAGCTTATTTGAATTTTTTACCAAATACTGCAGTGCTACCTGAGTAAGGTTTTTCTCATTATTTTCTCAGTATAAGATGTTTGGGACTCTGGCTGTCTCTGACTTTTTTCTTTGAATTTTTACAGCAGCCCTATATTATGTTCTTTTATGGGCTATGAAATGCCTCTCTTTCCATTCCATCCAAGTGCTTCTGTAACTGTTCATTTACCCAAGAGCACTCAAGTGGTGAAAAAGAGTAATATAGCCAAGAACCAGCCTGTGCAGGGAGGGGGAGAATATGCTATTGAACAGGTAGGCATTAGCTCCATCGCCAGAAGAGAGGATAATTATTACTGTGGATATACTGTAGTTTGTCTAAACCTCAAGTTTGACCTCCGTCCTCCTGCCCGAGTGTCCTAAAGGGATTCAAAGAGCTAAAAATTATACACATGAATTTAATGGGAAAAAAGTCATAGATTCATAGATATTTAGGTCAGAAGGGACCATTATGATCATCTAGTCCGACCTCCTGCACAACGCAGGCCACAGAATTTCACCCACCACTCCTGTGAAAAACCTCTCACCTATGTCTGAGCTATTGAAGTCCTCAAATCGTGGTTTAAAGACTTCAAGGGGCAGAGAATCCTCCAGCAAGTGACCCGTGCCCCATGCTACAGAGGAAGGCAAAAAACCTCCAGGGCCTCTTCCAATCTGCCCTGGAGGAAAATTCCTTCCCGACCCCAAATATGGCGATCAGCTAAACCCTGAGCATATGGGCAAGATTCACCAGCCAGATACTACAGAAAATTCTTTTCTGGGTAACTCAGATCCCACCCCATCTAATATCCCATCACAGGCCATTGGGCCTATTTACCATGAATATTTAATTACCAAAACCATGTTATCCCATCATACCATCTCCTCCATAAACTTATTGAGTTTAATCTTAAAGCCAGATAGATCTTTTGCCACCACTGCTTCCCTTGGAAGGCTATTCCAAAACTTCACTCCTCTGATGGTTAGAAACCTTCGTCTAATTTCAAGTCTAAACTTCCTGGTGGCCAGTTTATATCCATTTGTTCTTGTGTCCACATTGGTACTGAGCTTAAATAATTCCTCTTTCTCTCCGGTATTTATCCCTCTGATATATTTATAGAGAGCAATCATATCTCACCTCAACCTTCTTTTAGTTAGGCTAAACAAGACAGTGGAAAGAGACTTAAATTCTTCTCCTTCCTCCAGAACACAGTCATCTTCATAGACCTAATACCTTCCACTTAAATATCCAGTTCTTGATCCCCATAGAGGCTTATGAAAATGTTCCTCCTTGCTGGTATTCCTGTATGTAAAATTGGCTTTAACATTACAGAATATTATTTGATCATAGGGACCGTACCAGGCTAATTTAGGCACAAAACAACAATTTCCCCTCATATACGTTGCAGTCAAACATTAAAGGAAAAATGAAGGTGTTTAAATCAGAATAATCTAGCTCTCAGTATTTTGGTGACTAATGCCCCATTTCAACAGATGCATAAATTGAAGCATTGAAATGGTTCAATTGACTTCAATATGATAAATGAGAGAAATAAAATAAGTAAATGAACCAAAAATACGTAAGTCAATGGGACTGCTCACATTATGCCTAAGTACCTGGCTGAATCAGGGCCTAATTACTAGGGCTGTCATGCGATTAAAAAAATTAATCATGATTAATCATGTGATTAATCGCACTGTTAATAATAGAATATCATTTATTTAAATATTTTTGATGTTTTCTACGTTTTCAAATATATTGATTTAAATTACAACACAGAATACAAAATGTACAGTACTCACTTTATATTTATTTTTGATTTCAAGTATTTGCACTGTAAAAAGACAAAAGAAATAGTATTTTTCAATTCACCTAGTACAAGTACTGTAGTGCAGTCTCTTTATCATGAAAGTTGAATTTACAAATGTAGAATTATGTACCAAAAAACTGCATTCAAAAATAAAACAATGTAAAATTTTAGAGCCTGTAAGTCCACTCAGTCTTACTTTTTGTTCAGCCAATTGCTCAGACAAACAAGTTTGTTTACATTTGCAGAAGATAATGCTGCCCACTTCTTGTTTACAATGTCACCTGAAAGTGAGAACAGGCTTTCTCATGGCACTGTTGTAGCCAGCGTTGCAAGATATTTACGTGCCAGATGTACTAAAGATTTGTATGTCCCTTCATGCTTCAACCACCATTCTAGGGGACATGCATCCATGCTGATGACAGGTTCTGCTTAGTAACAATCCAAAGCTGTGTGGACCGACACATGTTCATTTTCATTATCTGAGACAGATGCGACCAGCAGAAGGTTGATTTTCCTTTTTGGTGGTTTGGGTTCTGTAGTTCCCGCATCGGAGTGTTGCTCTTTTGAGACTTCTGAAAGCATGCTCCATGTCTCGTCACTCTCAGATTTTGGAAGGCACTTCAGATTCTTAAACCTTGGGTTGAGTGCTGTAGCTATCTTTAGAAATCTCACATTGGTACCTTCTTTTCGTTTTGTCAAATCTGCAGTAAAAGTGTTCTTAAAATGAACAACATGTGCTGGCTCATCATCCGAGACTGCTATAACATGAAATATATGGCAAAATGGGGGTAAAACAGAGCAGGGGACACACAATTCTCCTCCAAGAAGTTCAGTCACAAATTTAATTAACATATTATTTTTTTTAATGAGCGTCATCAGCATGGGAGCATGTCCTCTGGAATGGAGGCCGAAGCATGAAGGGGTATACAAACGTTTAGCATACCTGGCACATAAATACCTTGCAACGCCGGCTACAAAAGTGCCATGCAAATACCTGTTCTCACTTTCAGGTAGCATTGTAAATAAGAAGAGGGCAGCATTTTCTCCTGTAAATATAAACAAACTTTTTTTTTCTTAGCGATTGGCTGAACAAGAAGTAGGACTGCGTGGATTTGTAGGCTCTGAAGTTTTACATTGTTTTGGTTTTGAGTACAGTTATGTAACAAAAAAAAATCTACATTTGTAAGTTGCACTTTCACGAAAAAGAGATTGCCCTACAGTACTTGTATGACGTGAATTGAAAAATATTATTTCTTTTGTTTATCATTTTTACAGTGCAAATATTTGTATTAAAAATTATATACACTTTGATTTAAATTACAACACAGAATACAATAGATATGAAAATGTAGAAAAACATCCAAAATGTATAATAAATTTCAATTCGTATTCTATTGTTTAACAGCGCAATTAAAATTGCGATGAATCACGATTAATTTTTTTTAATCGCATGAGTTATCTGCGATTAATCAACAGCCCTACTAATTACCATTTCAAAATTAATCTCCCTTTTTATAGGGAAGAGAGAAGTTGTTCTAGAGCTTCATTGTAGGAAAAGTGGCTCTGTCTTAAATGGAGCTAAAATGAAATGGAGTTTGTAGATCTAATTTATATATTCACTTTAGTTATTAAAATTATTTCCTTACTGAGGAATATTGGAATGAGATAAGAATTTCAGAGAATTATCATGTAAATTGCATTAACATTTTCTTTGTCTCATTTTGTGTAGTACCCTTTCCAGTTGCATTATTGTCCCTAAACAAATATTATTTTCCATTGTGGCAGTTTTGATAGGAGTATAAATAGAAGTAGAAAAATACTGAAGTGTGAACCAGTAACTAGCTGTAATATACAGAAATGGTGAGTCATTTAAAGGGACACTGTCAACTTGAAGTCTAGTCAGTTTAAAACAAAAAAAATGTTAAAAGTAGTTTCAGGTACTATGCCTGTGTCCTTCTGTCAATTTTTGTGGGTTTTACATTAATATTTTTCTATTTTAAAAATATTTTTATCTTCTGTATTTTTGCATGGAAAAACATACGGGAATGTCACTGACTATACAGAAGAAGAAGAGAAAATGACTATATGCAGTGTTTTCCAATCAGTAAAGTAAACAAATGGGGAGAAAAGAGTGTTTTCCATGTATAATGTAAATTATAGTGGTATTACTTGTTACAGTAGAAGTTAAAAACAATTATCAAGTAGAATTATGGTTTTTAAGTTGAGGGTGTCCCTCTCACATTCAGATACAGTTTGAGACTACGGATTTCAAAGAGCTCCCTATAACACTAACACAACCTGATTTTAGCTTCTAAGTGAAGTCTCTGCCTCACAGTTAGTCATTTCATAGTTGGGGGCAGTAATTTTTCCCATGAACTCTTGTGAAGAAAATAGAGTTGTCTCCATTAGAACAGGTTGGGAAAGCTGTACATTATTTTTGAAAGTGGTGCAGAGAGGCCATGTTTAGCCATCTAATAGAAAACTATTCAGCTATAAGTATGTAGGGTGGGATTTTCAAAGTGGTTTAAGAGCACAATATCTGTTGACTTTAAATGGGATCTGTGCTACTAAGTCACTTAGGCTCCCTTGAAAATTGCAGGTTTGATTTGTGTACACATACCAGCATGTTGTTAATATTAATCTCTGCATTAGCCTGTAATGAAGAACAGGTACAAATTCAAGATACTTAAGATGGCTGCTGCCCCACTTTAAAGTAATCACTTGAAATTTCCATAGAATCATAGAGTCGTAGGTCTGGAAGATACCTCGAGAGGTCATCTAGTCCTGTCCCCTGCACTCAATGCAGGACTAAGTATTATCTAGACCATCCCTGACAGGTGTTTGTCCAACCTGCTCTTAAAAATCCCCAATGATGAAGATTTCACAACCTCCCTCGGCAATTTATTCCAGTGCTTAACCACTCTGACAGGTAGGAAGTTTTTCCTAATGTCCAACCTAAACCGCCCTTTCTGCAATTTAATTGCTTCTTGTCCTATCCTCAGAGGTTAAGAAGAATAATTTTTCTCTCTCCTCCTTGTAACAACCTTTTATGTACTTGAAAACTGTTATCATGTCCCCTCTCAGTCTTCTCTTCTCCAGACTAAACAAACCCAATTTTTAAAATATTCCCTCATTGGTTTTCTAGAGCTTTAATAATTTTTGTTGTTCTTCTCTGGACTTTCTCCAATGTGTCCACATCTTTCCTGAAATTTGGCATCCAGAACTTGACACAATACGCCAGTTGAGGCCTAATCAGCATGGAGTAGAGCGGAAGAATTACTTCTCATGTCTTGCTTACAACACTCCTCCTAATACATCCCAGAATGTTGTTTGCTTTTTTTGCAACAGTGTTAGACTGTTGACTCATATTTAGCTTGTGATCCACTGTGACCCCCAGATCCCTTTCCACGGTACTCTTTCCTAGGCAGTCATTTCCCATTTTGTGTGTGTCCACTGATTGGTCCTTCCTAAGTGGAGTACTTTGCATTTGTCCTTATTGAATTTCATCTTATTTACTTCAGACCATTTCTCCAGTTTGTCCAGATCATTTCGAATTTTAATCCCATCCTCCAAAGCACTTTCAATCCCTCCCAGCTTGGTATCGTCCGCAAACTTTATAAGTGTACCCTCTATGCCATGATCTAAATCATTGATGAATATATTGAACAGAAGCGGACCCAGAACCAATCCCTGCGGGACCCCACTTATTATACTCTTCCAGTGTGACTGTGAGCCACTGGTAACTACTCCGTGGGAACCATTTTCCAACCAGTTATGCACCCACCTTATAGTAGTTCCATCTAGGTTGTATTTCCCTATTTTATTTATGAGAAGGTCATGCGAGACAGTATCAAAAGCCTTACTAAAGTCAAGATATACCACATCTACCGCTTCCCCCTATCCACAAGGCTTGTTACCCTGTCAAAGAAAGTATCAGGTTGGTTTGACACAATTTGTTCTTGACAAATCAATGCTGACTGTTGTTTATCACCTTATTATCTTCGGTGTTTGCAAATTGATCGCTTAATTATTTGCTCCATTATCTTTCAAGGTACAGAAGTTAAACTGACTGGTGTGTAATTCCCTGGGTTGTCCTTATTTCCCTTTTTATAGATAGGCACTATATTTGCCCTTTTCCAGTCTTCTGGAATGTCTCCTGTCTTCCATGACTTTTCAAAGGTAATTGCTAATGGCTCAGATATCTCCTCAGTCAGCTCCTTGAGTATTCTAGGATGCATTTCATCAGGCCCTGGTGATTTGAAGACATCTAACTTGTCTAAGTAATTTTTGACCTGTTCTTTCCCTATTGTAGACTCTGATCCTACCTACCTCATTTTCACTGGCATTCACTATGTTAGACATCCAATCACCACCAACCTTCTTGATGAAAACCAAAACAAAGAAGTCATTAAACACCTCTGCCATTTCCACATTTTCTGTTATTGTCTTTCCCCCCTCATTGAGTAACAGCCCTACTCTGTCCTTGGTCTTCCTCTTGCTTCTAATGTATTTGTAGAATGTTTTATTGTTTCCTTTTATGTCCCTAGCTAGTTTGATCTCATTTGGTGCTTTGGCTTTTCTAATTTTGTCCTTACAGACTTGTGTAATTTGTTTATATTCATCCTTTTTGTAATTTGACCGAGTTTCCACTTTTTGTAGGACTCTTTTTTGAGTTTTAGATCATTGAAAAGCTCCTGGTTAAGCCAAGGTGGTCTCTTGCCATACTTCCTATCTTTCCTACACAGTGAGATAGTTTGCTCTTGTGCCCTTAATAATGTCCCTTTGAAAAACTGCCAACTGTCTTCAATTGTTTTTCCCCTTAGACTTGCTTCCCATGGAATTTTACCTACCAACTCCCTGAGTTTGCTAGTCTGCCTTCTTGAAATTAATTGTCTTTATTGTGCTGTTCTCTCTCCTACCATTCCATAGAATCATGAACTCTACCATTTCATGATCACTTTCACCCAAGTTGCCTTCCACTTTCAAATTCTCAGCCAGTTCTTCCCTATTTGTCAAAATCAAATCTAGAACAGTCTCCCCCCAGTAGCTTTCTCCACCTTCTGAAATAAAAAATGGTCTCCAATACATTCCAAGAACTTGTTGAATAATCTGTGCCCTGCTGTGTTATTTTCCCAACATATGTCTGGGTAGTTGAAATCCCCCATCACCACCAAGTCCTGTGCTTTGAATGATTTTGTTAGTTGTTTAAAAAAAGCTTCATTCACCTCTTCTTCCTGGTTTGGTGGTCTGTAGTAGACCCCTACCATGACATCACCCTTGTTTTTTACCCCTTTTATCCTTACCCAGACCAACCTAAACTACTTTTGCTGCTAAACCCATTTTTTTCTTGTCCTATCCTCAGAGGTTAAGGAGAATATTTTTTTCTTCCTCCTCCTTGTAACAATCTTTTATGTACTTGAAAACTGTTACCATGCCCCTACTCTCTTCTCTTCTCCAGACTGAACGAACCCAGTTTTTTCAATCTTCCCTCATAGGTCATGTTTTCTAGACCTTTAATCATTTTTGTTCCTCTTCACTGGACTTTCTCCAATTTAGAATCATAGAAGATTAGAGCTGGAAGAGACCTCAGGAGGTCATCTAGTCCAACCCTCTGCTCAAAGCAGGAGCAACCCCAACTAAATTGTATCACATATCACAATTTGTCCACATCTTTCCTAAAGTGTAGCATCCAGAACTGGACGCAATACTCCAGTTGAAGCCTAACCAGCACAAAGTAGAGCAGAAAAATTACTTCTTGTGTCTTGCTTACAACACTCCTGCTAATACATCCCAGAATAATATTTGCTTTTTTTGCAACAGTGCTACACTGGTGACTCATTTAGATTGTAATCCACTCTGATCCCAAGATTCCTTTCCACAGTACGCCTTCCTAGGCAGTCATTTCCCATTTTGTCTGTGTGCAACTGATTGTTCCTTCCTAAGTGGAGTACTTTGCATTTGTCCTTATTGAATTTCATCCTGTTTACTTCAGACCATTTCTTTGAGTGCTTCTTGCCCCTATCCCTGCCTTCTTGATGAAATTAGGATTCAGTTTTGCCAAATTCCAAAGGCAAAATATTTGGTACTCAAATTTCAAAAAAGTGAATATGGTATGTACTGTCCCTATTCAGGAAAAACAGTGGGCAATGTTGTTGAACAGAAGCTGTCAAACAGTAAAGGAAAGGAATGTTGTAGAATTTCTCAAAGCACAAAAACATCCTACTTGTGATCTGTCCAATAGGGAGATCTTATAATGTCAGAATGAGAAACATTCCAACGTGTGTTGTCTCTTTTTTGTGTATCCACAGGGGCCTGCAAGTACTGCTCACGCCTGTTCTTGCAAACATTCTTGAAGCAGATCAGGAAAAATGCTGGGGATTTGACCAGTTTTTTGCAGAGACCAGTGACATACTCCACCGAAGAATAATTCATGTCTTTTCACTACAGCAAATGACCTCACACAAAGTTTATATTCACAGCTATAATACGTAAGCATTCTTTCCATATTTTCACTACTTCTGTCTTATCCAGGCAAATAATGCTGTGACCTCAGATCACATCAGTTTGACAGATTCAGTAGCCATTCCTTGACAGTTATCTGGTTGGGGGGAAGAGAAATGCATGATGATGATGATGTGTGCTGCAAGCTTGTAAGGCCTTCCCATGTCAAGCACTGTGTGTGTATATATGTATGTGTATATATATATATAATATGATGTGAATAGGTGTACATTATTTCTTTTGGTCTGGCCTCTTATTGGTTTGTCCCTTTCTTTTTCTCTGTGATTCAGCCTTTGGCAACAGAGCCCAAGTACTATGTTCTCGAAGAAATTGTGACAGGGCAAGGTCCCGCTCCTGTCTTCTGCTGTGTCAGACTATTTGGAGACTTTCAGTTGTTATTCACCACAGTGTAGTTTATTTACATTGCTTTCCCCGCCACCTTTAGAGATCTATACACCATATTTACAGCATCATATTACACATATATCACCCCTCTGCTGAGGAGACAGAAGAGATCTCTCTGTCCCAAGATCCTTCTTAGTTCTGGCTCTGTTAGCCTATATCTATAGCCCACATTGGTTCCTTCCTGTGGTTTCTTCTGTGTTCTGCATTAATGTGCCAATTAGCTCATTAGTCCTCTTCCAGCTCATTTTAATCCACTGGTTAGGCACAGTTAGGTCCATCCAGGGGGAATTAATTGATGTGGTCAGAGTGGTGACTCAGCTGTTTTGATCGCAGCACTCTGTCACAGGAATCTTTTGTAATGCTTCTCTTTGATCAGTCTTACCATTTTTAATTAGATTGCTTTTCTGTTTTGTATTTTTCTCTGTTTAACTATACACCTTAAGTGCCAAAAACATGTTGGTGCTGTATAAGAAACAAATTGTAAACTCTTCAGGGCAGGGACTTTCTTCAATCTAAAATATTTTAAAGATATGAAACTTTCTAAAGGATCTATTTTGTTTCTTCTCACAGTGTCATTGAGCTCCAATCTAGCTTTTCTCTTCACAAATTCCGCTTCTACTGTTCCTTAAGAAAAATCTGTCTTTTTATCATATGGATTCTTAAAAAGGGTGGATAACAATATTTGTAACTGGTTCAGACCTATTTTAGTATGTATATTCTCATGCTTCAGGGTGTAAGATCATCACCTGCAGGTGTCATGAAGATTTGTTCTGTAATGCACAGCACTGGACAATTGACTAGGTCAGCGTTTCTCAAACTGGGGTCTGTGAGGGTACTCCAAGGGGTCCACGGGCCCCACTGATCAACTCCTCCCTCTCCCTCCCAGCACCTCCTGCACTCCGGGGAACAGCTGTTCAGCAGCGTGCAGGAGACTCTGGGAGTGAGGGGAAGGAGCAGGGACAGGGTGCACTCGGGCTAGGGGGCAGAATCATGTTCAGGGCTGCTGGTCCCACTGATCAATTCCTCCCCCTCCCTCCCAGTGCCTCCTGCACACGGGTGAACAGCTGTTCAGTGGTGTGCAGGATGGGGGGGCAAGGATTGGGGATGGGGTGTGCTCGAGGGAGGAGGCAAGGAAGAAGAGGGGCAGAGGTGGAGCAGAGGCGGGAAGAAGTGGGATGGGGTGGAGCCTTGGGGGAGGGAGGAAGGAAGGTGGAGCCTGGAGCTGAGCGCAGGACCTGGGGGACCTCAAAAAAATTTACATCAAAATGCGGCTCCTCGGGTTGTTAAAGTTTGAGAAGTGCTGGACTAGGTGATAGATTATGGCCAGTAAGTATTATTGGCCACTGTTGGAAATAGGATACCAGAGTTGAAGAACTGATAGTCTCTAGTACAACAAATGCTTTATTTCCTGGTCACTAGTGCTCCATGATCTGCACTGGCTACCTGTGAGTTTCTAGTTTGCATTCAAGGTGCTGGGTTTGATATATAAATGCCCTAAATGTTCTGTGACTTCACTTCTTGAGACACTGCCTTTCTCCTTGTGCCATACTGCCACACTTGCGATCAGTAGAGCTGACTCCGTCAACTTAAGAGAGGGGCTGAGAGTAGAGTGTTCTCTGTGAGAGGCTCCGAGCTCTGGGTTAGGCTTCCATCACTGGGTCCAAAGTCACCCTATTTTTTTGCCCTTCAAAACATATCTATTTATGCAGGCTGTTGCAGAGATGGGCCTTTGAGAGAAATCAGATGTGTGGAGAGGAGTTTGGTGTTCTGCAGGCAATTTAATTTAATTTTTGTAATTTTTGCAGGAGTTCCCAGAATCTTAGGTAGGCTGCACACTGCTTATTATTTGTATAAATCTAATAAGTTATATAGGAACAAAACCAATACTTAATTCACTAAATATAAAAGGTATATTTTAAAAAAAAAACTATGAATTGTTTGCACTCTGTTGCATTTTAGTGAATTTGATCTGATTGTTTCCTAAGTGTAATGTTTTTCTTACAGAGCTGCCATATTTCATGAATTGGTCTACAAACAGACAAAAATAACTTCTCAGAACCAAGAAATGATATACGAAGGCCGCCGTCTAGTACTAGAGCCTGGAAGATTGGCACAACATTTTCCCAAAACCACTGAAGAAAATCCTATAATTATAATAAGCAGAGAGGCTGCAAACATCATAGGATTAATCTATGAAGAAAGTATGTTGAAGTCTTTTCTGACTGTTGTTAAATAAACAAGATTAGGCTGCTTATAAATGTTCTTTGAAAATAGGATTGATTACTGAATATTTCTGACCTCTGATAAATATATTAAAATCTTGGATCAAGAGTTTGTCCATATTTAGGCACCTAAACAGGCCTGGTTTTCCTAAGTGCTGAGTATCCATCGCTTCCCATTGACATCAATAGATGCTGCTGGGTGCTCAGCACTCAGAAAAATCAGGCCACTTATTTTGATGCTTAAATATGCATTTAAAATCTAATTTTAGACAATTTTTTTTAAAAGTCCTGGTCCCTGAGCATTAATATAGGTAGGATTTAGTAATTTGCATAGAATTCTACAATCCTTTTGTGAACCACAGTATTTAAATAAGTTGAAAGGAATTTTATAAAATAGCACTCCTAACTAATGTTGTTCTAATTTCCAGTAATATCTGGAAATGCAAGTGTTCTTGAGCTCTGATTAGTCTTTCTAGTCTTTTAACAGAAGCAGTTCTTACTAAATTTGATGTTTCACTGAACACATAAAAGAAATGTTTCTAAACCAAAACTTATATTGTGTATGCACTAATGTATTACAGACTTATTACATATGAAATATAAAATAAAAGTCCATCTCTTATGTTTCAGTTTCACTTCCTAAAGTACATCAGCGGTATGACTTGGACAGTGATGCCAGTATGGCTAAAGTGAGTATTTATTTAATTAGAACAAGAATTAAATTGCTATCTCAAATAAACTAAAGCTACCTAATGCTGAATTGAATAATGCCAGCCATCTTGTTTGTTTTTTAATGGTCATTGCTTTTATAAGTGTGTGTGTGTGTGTGAGGATAACAAATGACAAATATATATATTAGCTCTTTCTCTCAATTAGTACCTTATATTTATATTAAACTATGAGTTTTAAGTGGCTAATGATTGTAAATTACTTTGAAGGCAAAAAGCGTTATATAAGTGCTGTGCATTATTATTCCTCATCTGCATTTTGTTGGTTATGATTTTCTTGAGGGGAAAGTCAGTGCTGAAGAAATTAAGGACCAAATCCCAAAATCATTGCTCAAGCAAAACTTGCATTGAAATCAATGGGACTTTTTCCTGAGAAAGGGCTGAATTAAGATTTATTATACTACAGTGGGTTTCAACCTTTTTTCATTTGTGAACTCCTAAATATTTCAAAAGGAGTTGCAGACCCCTTTGAAAATCATAGACGGTCTGCGGACCCCCAAAGGTCTGCAGACCACAGGTTGAAAACCACTGTTATAGCAGGTTTATATGTCTAATGGATTTATACAAGTTGAGTTCATTTACAGTGAAAGAAAATGTTTTCCTACCCTCCCCACTTCAGCTTTTAAGAAACGTTTGCTATAATATGCAATACAGTGCATAGTTAATGGTAAGTGAATATTTAAAGGGTAAAAAAATCAATTAACTGGTGGTCTTTCATAGTCTTATCCTAGACAAAATAAGAATATTTAAAAGTTAAGGTTATTGCAGAAAATCATCTAGTCTTATACAAAAATATTTTATTTAAAAATACCCTACAGGTTAGATAACTTTCAGATAAATAAGTTTTTAATCTGAAAAGCAGAGGTGAAAGTAAGCCGGTACGCTCGGGTGTGCCATACCAGGACCAACTTTCCCAGAGGGCAATTTAAAGCCCTGGGGTAGCGGCGGTGGGGCTGTGGCAGGGATTTAAAGGGCCCCGGAGCTCCAGCCACTGATACCGCCCCGGCTCTTTAAATTTTCACCTGCTGCCGAAGCCCTGGGGTAGCGGCGGCGGGGCTCTGGTGGGGATTTAAAGGGCCAGGGCGATAGCGGCTGCGTGAGTCCCAAGCCCTTTAAATCTCCACCTGACCCCTGCTGCCCGAGCTCTGGAGTAGGGGTGGGGGGGGCTCTGGTGGGGATTTAAAGGGCCCTGGAGCTCCCACCCCGGGCCTTTAAATCCTCGCCGGAGCTCTGCTGCTGAAGCCCTGGGTAGCGGCGGCTGGGCTCCAGAGTGGATTTAAAGGGCTGGGGTGGTAACGGCGGCTGGAGCCCTGGGGCCCTTTAAATCCCTGACTGAGCCTGGCTGCCGCTACCCCAGGGCTTGGGCAGCAGGGCTCAGGCGGGGATTTAAAGGGCTTGGGGCTCCGGCAGCCATTACCATAGCGGAGCCCCAGGTCCTTTAAAGCTTTGCCAGAGCCCAGAGCCCCGGGGTAGCGGTGGCAGCCAGGAGCACCCAGGGCTCCTCAGTGATTTAAAGGGCCCAGGTCTCCTCTGCAGTAGCGGCAGCTGGAGCCCTGGGCCTTTTAAATAGCTCCTGAGCCCCGGGGTTCCCAGCTGCCTCTGCAGCTGGTAGCTTGGGGGTGATTTAAAGGGCCCTGGGCTCCCAGCCGCCACTACTGTAGCTGGACTTAAAGGGCCTGGGGATTTAAGGCCCTGCCTCTTCTGGTTGAGGCCACGCCCCCTGCTCATGACTCCAGTGTATTGGTAAATCCTCTAAGTATTTATCATAGTCTATGGCATAAGTAGTAAGCTATGAGTAATAATATCAGTAACTTTTAATTAAAAAAAAAAAGTTAAACTAGCTTCTGCTTGAGATTTTGTTTAGACGTATATCTACCTAGAATTCCAGGTGTTAAAACAAAGTTTGTAAGCAGAATTGGGTGGATGCCAAAAAATGGGACCCTACAATGAGGCCCTACAATTTTGAAAATGTATTATTTAAAAAAAAATTCTTTACATTCCTATACACTACTGAATACATTTACTTGTAACTTTCCAGAAAATTAAATCTGAACTCCCAAGAGTATGTGGTATAACTTTGATTATGACAGACTTATTTTCATGCCTAACAAAGACAGTGAAATTTCAGTGTAATGGAAAACTCATCTTTGCTTTAACTATGCTACCATAATAAGTATGTGGATTCCCCCCATACACACTAATTTATGGGCAAAGTTACCCCATTTTGTTTTACCATCTTCATGTTCTAATTTCTTCTAATATTAATCAATGTTGCTTTCTTGTGATCCATTGACTAGAAACAAACTACAGTGTTGTGAACACTGAATTAGTACTGACATTGTTTATTTCTCTGTCAGGGAGTAACAGGTGTTGTATGCTATGCCTGTAGAGTTGCCAATGCTTTGCTGCTTTACCAGGAATTAATGCGAAAAGGAATACGATGGTTAATGTAAGTGATTGGTTGAATTTTGCTGGGCATGGTTTCTTTACCAAGACTTGTTCTGGTCGTTCACACCTTGCATAATTTTGTGGGCTTCCAATGACTTCTGAAGCTTTCTTCCTTCCCCTCGACCATGAGTATGAGTCGACTTTCACAGTCTCTCAGATGTTTCCTTCTCCCTCATCAGGGGAAACTCTGAAGACCCAGTTTCTGAACACTAGATCCTAGGTATCCATGTTATTTAGTTTAATCGGCTCCTACAGAAGTTTGGATAATTTTAACTTAAGTATAGTGTCGGAACATATGACCAGCATGGACAAATAATTAATGAATTTCAAAATTTTAAATAATGATTTTGGTAGTTCATGTTGTTAATAGGATTGTGAAAGATCTCTCTAGCTACTAAACTATTACTGAAGTAATGTCCGCCAGAACATTGGCATAAAATTTTATATGACAATAATATGTAAAATCTTAGAGATATTACTCTTCATTATTACCAGCCATTTTTACTGTAGGCAAAGGTATGTGATAAGGAAGTGAAAACTTTTTTTTGATAGACTGATGCTATTCTTTCCAGTGAAATAATCAGGGAAGACTACAATGAAACGGTGCACAAAAAGACAGAGGTTGTCATCAAGCTGGATTTCTGCAACAGGAACATTGAGATAGCTGGGAAAATGTGAGTAGAAACACTGTATTGTTCTTTGGAAGTAAATACATTGCACTGCCAGTGGCTACTGGCTGAATTTGTAGTTGTTTCTTCTCAGTGACAGCTGTATTTAAAGATAACTTTTTTTACCATGTGTCTGCACACAAAAAAGGTTATTTCTTTTTAATTACAATTGTTTCACCGATGGCAATGGCCTAGCACCAAGTGAGGACAGGAGTGGTCTTGGACCTCACTGAATGTTGTTCCTTAATTTAGTGGAAAGGAGAGTAACTGTTGAGTAGTGTGTATTACTCTTCTCTCCTTCCCCCCTCCATGCCTGAGTTCTCTTGATGGCTTAGGGAGCTACAGTAAAAGGTAGGACAAATAATCTAGTAGTTCAGTCATATGGTAGTGGCTAAAGCAGTAAGCTTGCCCTGCATATGATTTTAAAGATAAATAAAAGTGTAATGAAAGCAGGTTGTTAAAGACCTGGGCTCCCTGCTGCAGAGAGTGGATTTTAACATTGTAATACATGATTGTCTTTAATATTTCTATAAATATGACAAACAAAAAACTACGTTAAAAGAACATTATTAACATAGCAAGTCAAGCGTTCACAAGTTAGGAAATGCCAGAGTTAAGATTGCCTGTGCAGGTAGACTTGAGGTTGCATGCCTTAACCATGACACCATCTTACTCTTCCTGCGATCTCCTGTCTCGTTCACTACAATACCCTTCAAAGTCTGCTACAGAAGAAGCTGGGATACTACAGACAATAGTCTCCTTCACTATACAGCCCTGATTCATCCCTAGAGCAGGTTCGTCCTGTACACTGCAAGAGACAGGGGTCCTATGGAAATTACAGTACGTTTTAATAATTTGTATAGTCAATTGTCTGGCCACACTTTGGTTTGTTATTTCGTTATGAAATATACTCGAGACCAAATAACCAATTCAGTCAGGTTTATTAATATAGTACAGGAAAAGGGTTCTGCACAATACCAATCTCCTGAGAGCGGTCCTGTGCAGCATGTGTGCTCCTTGAAATTAGATCCTTAAAGCCATCTTTTTATACTCTACCTCTTTACTAGTAAAAGGTACTATATACATCACCTGAAACTGGATTTAATTAATCAGCTTTTTACCTTGTTTATTTCTGGTACCATGGTGTACCCCTTTATCTTTTGTTCCGAACCCATGCATTCCAGGTCATGATGCACCCTTAACATTATTCTGAGCACATTCATTCCAGGTACTAAGGGGGTGAAGACACCTCCTAGGCTTGTACCAGGATAAATAGGTTTGTGAAGGTAACTTCCTTTCTGTTGCTATGAGGAAACAATTATACCTCTACCTCGATATAACGCGACCTGGTATAACGCAGGTTTGCATACAACGTGGTAAAGCTCCGACAAAGCTCAGAGCAGTGTGTAAAGGGTGCAGGGCCGGGGCCGAGGGGTTGGATAAGGGGCAGAGGGTCTCGGGGGTGGTCAGGGGCTCCCCCCCCCAGAGTCTGGGAGGCAGGAGCTGTGGGGGGGCACTTTTGGGGCCCTGCAGTCCCAGAGTGGCCTGGGGGATTAGCAGGGGGCCGGGAGCAGCCCACTCCACTTCCCTCGCCCCGGCCCCAGCCATATCGCTCGGGGGAGGGGGCTTGGGGGAAGGATCCCCCCGCACTCACCGGCAGTGGTGGAAGCGGAGCAGCCCGGCCCCAGCCCGCTCTACTCTGCCAGCTTCCCGCCATGGTGCTCCGCTTCCCGCCGCTGCTGCTGAGTGCCTGTCAGGGGTCGGGGTGTGTGGATAGGGGTCGGAGCAGTCTGGAGACAGGGAGCAGGGGGGTTGGGTGGGGGTGGGGTCCTGGGGGAGATTAGGGAGGGGGGGGTCTCTGGAGGAGGCGGTCAAGGAACAGGGAACGGGGGGGCCAAAGCAAGTTCGATATAACATGGTCTCACCTATAACGTGGTAAGATTTTTTTGTCTCCCAAGGACCGCGTTATATTGGGGTAGAGGTGTATATGATACTGACAGTTTTCCTACCTACTTAAGCCAAAGCTTTCTTCATCAAATGGAAAGTGTTATGGGATAAGTGAACAGGATTATAACAAATGCACAGGCTAATTTGGGCTAAATATCTGTTATATTAATGCTTAATATGTGTACTTAATACCTCATATATAGGTTTGCTATAAGTCAAGAATATGTGATCATGTAATTAAAAACTGTATCATAATGTATACACACACAGGGTCAAATTAAGGTTGTACAAGCAGCCTTAATTCTGGCATTGCCTAATTTTTGAGTGCTTGTTTTTGCAACCTTAAAAATATTATTTTAATGTACTGATTTTTGCATGATTGCCTTAATTTAAAAAAATCAAACTGAAAAAACAGAAATTGCATCTTGTAGCATCACATTGACACCTTTTAGATCCACCACACAGACCTCCGCTGCTTGAGCTAAAGGAGTGAGGGCTGAATGCTCAAAGAAGTTAGATACCTGGAAAAATCACTCTGATTCTCAAAGCCTTAGTTAGGTGCATAAGTTCCTTTACAATAAATGGTAAGAGATAGGTGTCTTAGACTAGAGCCCTGCGCGGGACTATTTTTTTAAAAATCCCACTCCTATCCCACCTTGCATTACACACTCCCACCCGCTCCTGCATTGGTTCTTGCATTTTTATCCCGCTCCCACCAGCATATATATGGGATACACACGCTCCCACCAGCATATATATGGGATACACACACAGAATTCAGGCACAATTTTTACCACTAATAGAATAAAACAAATCTTGCTTAAACCATATAAAAATATTTTAACTCTTGTGATAATAGACATCAAATCTCTTTCTAGGCCTCACTTAAATTTAAGTATTAAAATCTTTATTTTAAAAAAAGAGAAAAACTTGCTTTACATTGCTGAAATTCTATTTATGACAAACTGATGAGAGATTTAGTATTTTCCCACAAATTACCACAGTCTTTTATTTTTTCCTGCCCCCCCCCCATCATGCCCACAACAAACTACATTTTACCTGCTCCTGCTATTATGGCAGCAGGTCTTAGGACCCATGGGATCACAGTCCCGCTGCAGAGTTCTACCTTAGACTGCAATTCACAAAAGCCACCACACTAGACATGGAGGCGCCTAAGCTAGCCAGCGGAAGATGCTGATGAGAAGGGTATGTGCTAAGCCCTGCTCCTCTCATGGAGATAGGTGCCTGTTTGCGATTCTGAAGTTGGGTACCCTCTTTAGAGTTAGATGCCTTACTCTGTTTTAGCAAGGAGCTGTTTCCAGTGGTGGTGCCCACCTTCTAAATTTTAGACCAATAGTTAGGGCACTCACCTGGGATGTGGGAGACCTAGGTTCAATTGCCATCTCTCTGCCAGAGCGGGAGGAAGACTTGATCAGACTTGATCTCCCATCTCTCAGGTGAGTGTTCTAACCATTGGGTAATGTGATATTTTTATGTGACATGCCCTCATTCTCTCCTGTTGAAGTTGTTGTACTCTGGATAAATAATTAGTCACTGGAGCAGGGGAACTGGATCCTGGGTCTCCCACTCATTGGGTGAATGTGTTAACCACCATGCTATACAGTCATTCTCATTCTTCTATATGCATTTTCTGTCACTTGCTCTCATTTCATTTGGACCCCATATGTGATTTAGGTGGTTGAATGCCTATCTTTGTGCCTGTTTGTCAATCAGTGTGTGACTTAGTTAGGAGATAGGTGACAAGACACCTTCAGAGATGCAACTGTTACTCCTGGGGGAATTCTGCACCAAAAAATTTAAAATTCTGCACACAATATTTTAAAATTCTGCATATTTTATTTGTCAAAATAACACCATATAATCACACCAGTTTCAATTATTTTAGTAATTTATTTCAAAATACCTGTCAGCAAGTATGTCTGTAACAATACAGATAATAATAAAGATTCAGGAAATGTTTTTAGACAAATAGATTCCTTACTAGGCATATTAATACAGAATTCTGAGTAATAATTCATTTAAACTACAGTATAGAACCGTATTCCCCGGACCCCTCAGAAGCAGTGCAAAGACTTGGGGGAGTCGAGGTAACGGAGGAGCTGAGGGAGAAGGAAGTAATTGATGGGAAGGAGGCTGGGTATGAACTTGAAGGGTTGTTGGGTATGGGCGGGAAAAATATGGAACAGGTATTTTCGGGGGGGCGGGGAGAGATTGTTAGGGAGCATCCCCATGCTGATCCTGGCTGACCCTTAGCCTCTCCCATTCAGTCAGGCACATGTGCCCCTGTCCCCATGTGTCTTTGTGCCCCCACTCAGCCATCCCCCTACCCCCTTGTAGCTCTGCACCCCTTTCCCCTCTGCCCATGTGTCCCTGCACCCTCTCAGCCAACCCCTCCCCTCATCTCCATGTGTCCCTGCACCTCCATCCCCATGTGTCTCTATGCCCCCACTCAGCCACCCCTTTTCCCCTGTAGCTCTGCACCGCCCTCCCCCTCTGCCCTGTCGTCCCCCACTAGCCCTTATGAGCCCTGTCTGACCTCCCAGCAGCCCCACACTGTCTGTCTCCCGACCTGGCCTTCACAGTGAAGGCAGGCAGGCTTTTTCTCTTCCCTATCATAGCTGGGGCTTGCCAGGAGCGGCTGCTGTGTCTAGCGCCGCAGCACCCTCTGGTGGGCAAAAGGTGGAACTGCAGAAGTTCTTTTCTGCTGGGAGCTGCTGCTCTCTTCTAGTGCCACTACGTGTTCTGGTAGGCAAAAGGTGGAACTGCAGCAACTTTTCAGCTGAAGCTGTTTTCTGCAAAAAATAAAAAATATGCGTGGTACATGACATATGCCCACGCACAGTGATGCAGAATTCCCCCAGGAGTAAGCTGTGTGCATGCTCAGAGGCAGAAATGTAGGCACCTAGGGAACTTTTAGTGCAAAAACTTAGGCGTAGAGCGAGTGTAGGCACCTGCAGGGTTTGGCAGGGGGTTTTGTGCATTGCCATGGTACCAAACTCAGGTTTTAGCTGTCTGTAATAGGGACATGGCATCTAACTCCTTTTGAGCATCTGGGCCTACCTGATAGCAGTAGTACATTGTTATCCTCTATGTGGACCTGCACTAAGGGGGGATGAAACGCTTTTCCCATTGGTTGCACAGATATTTGAGAGCAGAGGAATGGTGAGGCTCGGGTGTTTGGGGTTCCATTCCAGGCTCTGCAGAGGAGTGTGCTCTAGCAGATACAGACTTTTCTTCCCATTCCCCTGGAGCATGAACCCTTTTGCCCCATCTGACCCAACCTGACCCTGTCAAAGTCCTGTCTCTTTCTCATCCCAGCCCCATTCTCCTTATGTAGTAAGTGACCGTCTCTAGTCCTCAGATTTTTCATCCTGGTTCTAGTCTCTTTTTCTCTCCTTCCCCTCTCCTTGTCTGATCTGTTGCTCTCTTTCCTCCCCCCTCCCCTGGCCAAAGCCTCCACATTCCCCAGTCCTGTTTTCTCTCCCCAGGCTTCAATCTCAATGTCCCTACCTACTCCAGCTCCTTATCCCAGTCTGTTTGCCCAGCCGGTCCCAGTTTTACCCCTATACCCTGGCTTATTATATCTATCTCTCCTGCCTCCACCTTTTCCCCCCTGCCATCCACTGGTCTCTTTGCCCCCCCTGTTCCAGTCTCACCCCCAAGCCTACAGTCCCAGTCTGCATCCCTAGATTCCTTGTCCCACCTTTTCTCCCATTGCTGGGCTGCCTCTTGTAGTCTCTGTATTCAAATCAGGCAGCTTCGTCTACCACACTGACTGGACCCAGTAGGGAGTGAATTCTGAGAATGGGAGAGACAGTCTCCCTGTTTTTATGTCTAGCGTCTGGTCCCTCCACGGAGCACAGCAATCAGAGCTGTAATTGCAGGAAAAGTACTGCTCAGCCCTGGGCTGGAGCATGCTCAGTGTGTACAGAATCTTTGGATATTTTAGTTCTTAAACTCTAAGGGTTTGTTTACACTGCAGCTGCAGGTGTGATTTGCAGCTAATGTAGACAGACCCATGCTTGCTGTACTCTAGCTAGCTTGCTAAGAATAGAAGTGAGGATGCCACAGCACGGCTGCACAAGCGAGTATGTACCCAGTAGGACTGGGTAGGTTTCTGCAGCCTACTCTGAAACCTGCACCATGGCATCCTTAGTTCTCTTTTTAGCAAGCTAACTAGAGTACAGGTAGTGTGGGTATGTCTACATGAGGTGCAAATCACAGATTTACTTAGCATATGAAAACTTCAATTTTTCAAAGGCTTATAACTTGGTGAGGTTTGAGCAGATTTCCACAGGGGCAGCAAAAGGCACATCCCTGATACGAAGGCCACCTCAATGCCAAATTTCTAATAGTTTGCTCCAAAGTATGGTGATGCAAGTGCTTTTCTAAATAAATAAAAAGGTCACCAGATTTTTTTAACACAGGCAGACAACATGTTTTTTCCCTATCATCATTCTTGGAAACTGCAGAATCATTTTGGCTGAATCTTTCTGAAACAATTCAGTCTCAGGCAGTCACCTGGCATTAAACTTCAACCCGAAGGGTTAACGTTTAGCAAAGTTATAAGCAATTGAAAACTGGGTCTTATAATAGGAAGTGGTTGGGAAATCTTAATAGGCCATGCTACCAGCCCTACCTATCATATTTGGTTATAACCCAGGTTTTCCAAGATGTTTCCATAGTCGTTGGAGAACTGGTGCTTGATGTGTTTGACTGTTTTTAAGGGGTACAGTTCAAAAACAGATTGAGGTGATTACACCAGACATTTCAGCTGTCTATAGAATACAAGTAATGAGTAAAAAGCAGGAATGCTAGGAATGCAAGTAGTTTAAAACTTTTTTACGGTTCAGCGAAAATATGGAATGAAGGGGCAAGAGTCTGTTACTGAACTAATGTTTTGTTTGTTGTTTAGGGAAGCTTTTAAATTGATTGCTTCTCAAAGTTACACATAATTTTGGTGGATTTTTTTAACTTTCTAACTTTTGTTAGGACAGGGTAGACAATTGTATTAACTTCTTGTTTTCAGTTCTAGGAACAAAATAATCCCCAAAACATGTTTTTTGTTTGTTTAATACAAAAGTATGAACAGCCGTCATGTTTTTAACTGAATTACATTTTTATGGACAGATACGAGAATCTGATGCAGATCCACTTGGAAACAGAAATGGATGAAATTTCAGAGATACATACTAAACTATTGCTTGTAAGTATCTAATATTGTAATAAGAAGTTCTCAAAATATTGAGTGTACCTGTATAAAAGTCCAAAGATGCAGTTTTGAAAGATGCTTTCTACAAGGAAAAACCTCTAGATTTTCTTAGCAGCTTTCCTCTTCTGAGAGTTTCTTTGCATACGAAAATTGTGGTGTGGTTATTTTCTAAAGAAAAATACAGCTGTGTTATCTGGTACTCTACCAACTGGAAAGCTCTACAAACCAGCATTTTGGGAGGGTGTATGGGGCGTGGGCTGTGGGAGAGAGTTTGGGCGTGGGAGAGGGCTCAGGACAGGGGGTTGGGTAGGGGTTTTGGGGTGCCGGATTTGGGTAGCGTTCAGCTCGGGCGACTTCCCGCAAGTGGCAACATGTCCCTGCTGCTCCTCTGCACCTCCGCCTAGGAGCTGCAGGGATATGTTGGCGCTTGTGAGGAGCTGCCCGAGGTGAGCTCTGCCCAGATCTGGCACCCCAAAACCTCTCCCATGCACATTCGAGTAGAAAGAGCAATGTGTCCACTGAAGGAATCATCCCAGATATCAGACACTCAAAAAAAATATCCTTAGCACCAAGCTTTAAAAAATCTAAATGTGCTTATTTTGCATTTCATTTGGAAGGATCCCAAAGTTCTTCACGTATTTTGTAAAATGTGTATGAATCATGTCACTACCATGTCCTTTGAAATCTACAGAGTTTTAAATTAAAAAAGGAAATTTTAAAATACTAAATAATGGAGAATTTAATATTTGTCTGAGGATAGTATTATAGCAAAGTTGTTCCTATTCTATAGGCTATGTAAATAGGAGAGTGAAAAACTATAGTTTTAATTGTCAGATACAAAACAGACCAGGAATATTCTTGTGGGATCTAGAGAAAGTGAAGCTTTGAGCCTCTCACAGAAAGAGCTAGTATGGCATATAATCATATCTAGTACCCTACTGGATTTTAGCTGTCCCTGTGCCCACCCTAACTCCCCTTTGTGGCTCATCTTGGGGATGGCGATTACATCTCTGCCATGCCAGGAATCTCATATTCAGGGTGATATAATGATGGTGTCTCTGATGGGCTCTTTGTTGATTCTCTGCCACTACTGGGCTCTTGAACCTAGTTGTCATGAAATAAAAACTGAATTTATTAGCAAATTACAGAAACAGAGAATATTAAAGTAAAATGGTAGGCACATAATACATTCATCTGGGCAAATACCATGGAAAGGTGGGGGGTTTTTAGGTAGGTCGTGTGGTTAGAAAGTTATTTTTTATGACATTTGTAGAGTTCCATGATTTATGTTTCTCAGTGACTTCAGATCCTCCTCTGTTTAAAAGTGTGTGTGTGTGTGTGTACATATATAATATTTAGCTGCCAGCTCATGCAGACTCAACCTGGAATCTGAAAGTCAGTCTGAGTTCTTTCTGGACTGCCCTCCAACAAAATAAAGATCATGCAATAAGAATTCAGTTAATAGTTTTTTGATATGCAAGCCAAAACAAAAGTCAGCTTGCTGTCTTCAAGTGCTATTGTTTCTGTAGTGTTAACAGTGTGAATAAAAAACACGAAATGCATTGGGAGATCTAGAGGAAGACTATCTTACTGTATTTTTCTTGTCTTTTGTAATGTGTTGGTTGCAGCATTTGTATGGTTGAAGGTTGGTGTTAGGAGACTTCATGGAGAAAGAGTTTGATGCACTGAAGCAGGGAGGAAGTTCCAGGATTGGGCAGTATAGGAGAAAAAGCATGAAGATAGGTGAAAGAGAGAGACAAAGAGAAGATACTGCTTATTGAGAAAATAAATGTGAATCGGCAGAAATATTAACTCCAAAGAAGATACTTTTCCTAATAATGCCATATTTGTATGTTCTTAAAGTGAACATTTGAGCTGCTAAATACTTCATAAGTTGTCTAGGCATATTCCTATAGTTGGAGACAATTAGTGAAGTGAGGACTAGGTGGTGGTGGTGGTATTATTTTATTATTTATTGTCACCATAATAAAGTGAAAATGCACTGAATCCCATCTCAAGTGCAAGATCATTTGTGATTTTTGGCAATAGTAGTGGTGAAACTGTTGTTCTTAAGCAGCTTTCTAGCTCTCGGGGAACAATAGAGCCCAGTCTTCATGACATTGAAGATAAACTGTCTCCTGGTGGATTGCTGAGTGATACCTGGGCAAATCAGGAAGGCACACATCCCAGAGACAGAAAGTAAGTGACAACTTCACATTCATTACTTAAACATATTCTCATTTCTGTACTGACCTACATTCATTATAATTAACCTTTTGTTTCCACCCACCCCCTTCTAGTCCAGAAAAGCTACAAGTATTGCTGAGTTCTATCACAGATATTTATTATCAGTTCAAGAAAGACAAAGCAGAACGTAGTAAGTAATTCTATTTTTAGTATACATTAAGAATAATTAAAAGTATAAAGGACAAGTCAGCCTTAAGTCTGTTCAGATATTTTTAGTAGTGATGGGGAGAAATGGCCAACCACAGTGAATATGTCCTGAGTGCTCTGTAGGACAAGTTAGGAAAATAATCTGAGGGAACAAGTGAACCACAACTTTGGTTTTATAAATTTAAACGTCTGCATTGAAAAAAGTAAATGTCCATGCTTGCTACCTAATGCTTACTCAGACAGGGATAAAACAATTCTGTAGGATGATGGCTAAATTTAATAGAATTAAATCAGTAATATCTTTGATTTCCTCTGATACTAGGACTTCCTTATAATGAGGAACAAATCCACAAATTTGACAAGTAAGTGTTAAAATTACATTTAAAAAAATATCACTTGTGCTAAGGTCCCTGACAAATCTTTGGCAGTTACCTTTCCTGCTGGTTCCTCTTCGATATAGATTATAAACTCTTTCAAACAGCAACTTTCTTTCAGTTTCTGTCAAGCACGATGACAGATTTTATGCATGTTTGTTAATCATAATTATCTGCTTTCTAGAGATGGGGTAACTTTATATACCTTGAAGTGTGGATGTTAATTAACTAATTGGTCTTTGACTGAGGGCATATATGGGTTTGAGTGCATGTGTATGTAAAATACCTTGTACCCAGTAGACATTTTGTAATTCCTGCCTCCTTTCCAATTTGCTACTTTTAAGGAATGTCTATAGTTGATTTCTCTCCCTAAAGTGTTCTGCCTTTGCTACTACCAGTGGAGCTCCAGTGTTTTCCCTTTGGGGTCTCCAAGTGTCACTTGGGATCCTGAGCACATCTCTTTTTACTCCATACACTCCCAAAAGGAAATTGCTAGAGGATGGCATAACAGATTGCTTTCTGTTCTGCGATTGCAGTAATTTCAGCGGTGGTGGTCTGAGAACTCAGCTCCTAGATCTTGGGTCTTTTTGGTGGCAGCAGAATTACTGGCTGGCCACTCCAGTCTTAATTGTAGCACTTTATCACTGGGTAGGCAAGTGAGCAGTGTGCATTTCAGCTGTTTCCTGGGTGGATGCCGGTTGTGTGATATTAATGAGAAAACAGGTACTTTGTCCATATATAAACCATACAGGTAAGATTACCAACTAGCCGTCATTCAAGACTTTGTTCAGTAAAAACCTAAACGCTGACATGGGAGTTGTAGTCTTCCAAAATTTCACATTCCAGGATTCCACTTCCTAGTTCACACACACAAGCATGGTTAGTGCTGAGACCACTGCCTATCAAGCTGAACAATATTGTCTATGTCCTCCTTCTTTGCTCATCTGTATCCACCTCTTGTCTTACACTTAGACTGTAAGCTTAATGGGGTATGGGTCTGCCTTTTTGTTCGGTTAGTACAGTGCCTAGCACAGTGGAGTCATGGTCCATGACTGATGCTGCTAGGCACTATGGTAATACAAATAATGAATTATAATAAGAAGTTCCTCTGTCCTTTCTATCCATCATTTCCTTTCCTTAAATATAATCAAGGTTTCAAATTTCAAATGGAAAAAGTAGTATGAGTGCATAGTTTGTAAATAATAGTTACAGCTAGCCAAATTTTTGCCTCAAATGGGACATTTGAAAGTGGAACATCTTGGAAATTAATTTTGAAATATAACCTGGCAGTTCATCCAGTATAAACACATTATGGTAGCATACAAAATAAGTTGGATAAAGGTTTTTTAGACATTTTAAATCTTCATATATACCTCGTATGCCTCAAAACTTTAAAAAAATCATTTGGGGAATGAAGGTCCTGCAAGTGTTATAACAATATTCAGTTGATTATTTCTGTATTGCAGGCAGAAGCTGAATTTACATGCCACAAAAGCCATCTCTCTGTTCAAAGATGAATGTGTCAGCAAGTATGAGACATTTTTGGACAAGGCAGAGGACTGGTTGAGGCAAGAGACTGATTCATTAGAGTTCAACATTGTGACAGCACCATGATTTTGCTGATTGCCTTTTTAAAATACTTTTTTTTTTTGCTTCTAGAAAGATGCTTCATTTAAGGAAACAGTTACTGACGATCACCAGACAGTGTTTTGATATTGAAGAAGAGGTATCCAAATACCAGGACTATATAAATGAGGTATACTGGTCCTAAATTATGTCCAGTTTTTAGACTGAGTGAGCAAAGGATTCTATTCCATTTCCCTCAACAGGATAGTTTACCAAGTTCCACTTACATCTGTGCAAACCTACTGAGAGTAATAGGGCTGCACAGATGTAATAGTTTGGCCTGTAGAAGCTGTATTGCTAGTGATGTGTGAGCTGGATAGAACGCCACCTGATTCAGAGTCCAGACTGAGTTTACAGGATCAGCAGTTTAAAAAAAAACAACTGAGCAACTTCAGATGTTTTTCAGTGATTCCATCTCAATCTTTTCTATGTGGCTCCCATCACCATAATCTCTGAGCATCCTGAACATTAATGAATTTATCTTCATACATTCTTCTGAGGTTGAGACGTATTATCCCCATTTTATAGACAGGGAATTGAGGCGCAGAGACTAGCTTAAGCTCTCTTTCACTCTGTGGCAGAGTTAAACCAGGATTCTTGTGTCCCAGTCTTGTGCCTGAGCATCAGAACAATGAAACCCCGCAGTGTCATTTTTACAGTCATTCTTCACAGTAAAACCACATTTTAGGAACAATATACAATTGGAAGAAACTGTTAAAATCTCTGCCATGAGGCCAGAATTATTGAATTTTTTAGCACTCGGACAGTTGCCATTTGGAGCGCAGATCTATTCAGAGCCACCAGAATCAGTTCAAAACCAGGTTCCTGGGGAAAAATCAGAGGCATGAAAGTGTATATCTTGCTTTCTTCTGCAGAGTCTAACCATTCATTAAAGATGTGTCAAACGTTTAAGACATTCAGACATGATATGTATTAGTCTTCATTATACAGTGTCCCCAAATACAGAAAGAAGTCTGAGGGCAAATAAACATATTTTAGTACAACAAAATTACTTTTTAAAAAAAACACAAGTGTAAAAAGGGGGGGAATCCAGCTGATCTCCCTGAGCAAAAGTCTGAGAGGAGCAGGGTCATTACTATATTTATTAATAATGTTACTTGTGCCTAGGAGCCCCAGTCATGGATCAGATCCCTTTTATGCTAGGTACTGGACAAACATACAACAGGGAGATTGTCTCTGTTCTTGAGAGCTTACAAAGAGTAAGATGAGAGAATGCAACAGACAGACAGGAGAGAGCATGAGTCAATACTACTCAGCATGATAGGCAGCGCACAGCTGCCTAACCATAGTCATGGCTTTTGTAGGGGAATATTTCAAGGAGGGATTTGAAGGTGGACATTGAAATGCACATGGCAGTTTGTTGGCCTGTGATCATGTTACTTACTTACCTTATTTATTTATTGCAGTTACAAGAAACTCTGCGACAGAAAACATTTGCAGCTTCCACTGGGATCAAACATACAATGAATCCAATCTATCCAAGTTCAAACACTTTAGTGGAAATGACTCTTGGGTAAGAATTAGGTGGATAATTGTAATACTTTCATGTGCTTTCTATAGAGGAATTAGAGAAAATTTGTGTTTTTATTGTTGACTTAACTTGCCTTTCCATTTTTAAAGCAGTTAAGTGGCTACGGCCTAAAGGTCAGGCATTTTCTGTCGGTTACATAAACAAACTGGTATTTCTGAATGCTGATGTACTTATGGACATGAGGGAAAAATCATACCATTCACTGTTTTCATTTATTACTTTTGTCAGATTTTGTTCTCAAGCCAACTTAATATGCTTCTCCTTTATTTTGTACACAATTGCAAGTTACTGGAAACTTCATTGTGATGAGTCACTCTAATGTTTGGGCATCTTCAGAATAGTTTTTCTTCCAATTTTATTATTAAACTGTTTCTATTATACCATTCTGACACATTTATTTCATAATGAATGTAACATTAAAACTGGCATGCAATGGATAAAACTGTTTATAATCGCTGAAGACCTTTCTTTTGCTTTTTGTTATACAGTATGAAGAAACTGAAGGAGGAAATGGAAGGTGTTGTTAAAGAACTAGCTGAGAATAACCACATTTTAGAAAGGCAAATAGTAATTTTTACTTTTTGGTGGGGGGTGTTATAATTTGGTATGGAAGTTAATGGATGCAGGGAGCTAGAAAATGGGCAATTTTATCTCTTGGACAGCTGTAGTATAGACACCTGGTTCCAAATTGTTGCTCTGAGACATGTTTCAAGCTGATATGGCCACAGTTGTTGTCTTTATTTGAAAACAATGCTATTTGTTCCATTACTGTGGAAGTTAATTTGTGATGCAGGTAAAAGCACCAAGAGAGCTGAAATTACCTAGGGTCACTTAGTGGAAATAACTGTTGCTCAGAGTGGTGAATGCTGGATTTACACGGTATTTCTTGCAGTGATCCACAGGCTCGTATCTAACCTTTTTTAATTTTCAGATATCACTTTAAGTTTAATAACTATGGAATGATACCAATCTGTATTAGTCATTCTGCAGTTTTAGCATTAGCTGTAATGAAATAGCACTGAGAAAACAAGTCAATCATACTTTTTATAACCATTCTGAAACAATGCTTTCTTTAATGGCACTGAAAATGATTCTGTTCTGTCTACGCTAGCAGTCAAATCATTTTCATTCACTGGTTCAGGGGTTTCCATTGCAGATGGCAGCTATTAGTAATGGGTCCATTTCCTACACAGGTGTTACGATCTGCCTAAGGCCTCCTAGTGAGTCAGTGGTAGTACTGGGCTAAGAACTCACTTGTTCCTGGTTCTCGGTCCTGTGCTTAGATCATTCAGTGACCTGTTGTATACACGCTCTTCATGTGTCTCCAAGAATACTATTTTAAGAAATAAATGTGTGTTGGGGTGTGGCAAGAGGGGGGGAAGAACATAATTAAGTTATAGTTAAATGAACTCAAAAAAGAAACACGTTAATTTTATTCTAGAGTTAAGCGTTAATTTATTGTGTATTAAATCAAGTTTAATCAGCTAAGAATAAAATGTTTCTTTCACTTTAGATTTGGTGCTTTGACTGTGGATGGTGGCCTGCGGAATGTAGACTGTATCTAGTCAACAAAGGACCATGAAAAGACTGTTCATTTTTCACAGAAAAAAAAATGCTATAAGGGGCATTTAAATGCAGAAAAAGCATTCTGTACAGCAATTTTTTTCTGCAACTCTAGTATTTAACAAAATTATGTAAATATGTATATACTGTAAATATAACAATTATATCAGTTTTTTGTTAATGTTAAAATAGAATTACTGTTAAATTTTCTGACCTGGTTATAAATTTTTTCCCTTTAAGGAACTATGGCAAAGGATTACGGCAATAATGCTAAATAGACATTCATTGAATATTGACTTTTGGGTCACGATTTACTGTTGTTTCTTGAAAGAGAATTTGTGGCTTGAACTAGCTTGCATTCAGAGAAGTTATTAATAGTTTTTAAAACAGTGGTCCCAAAACTGTGGGGCGGACCCCCTTAGGGGTGTGTGGAAGAATGTTTTGGGGGCACACAGCAGGGCCCAGGTCAGTCCCCACAGGGGATGGAGTGGGAGTACCGTCCAGCTGTGCAGTAATGCGGGAGGGGGGCATAGACAGATTCCATTACTGGTAAGGGGGGAGTTGCGACAGGAAAAGTCTGGGCACCACCACTGTTTTAAAGGGCGATTGGACTTCCCTTAATACCAGTGTGTTATTTCAGAACCTAGTCAATGACTCATGATCAACTACAGTACTTGAATGAAGACCATTTGATCTTGTCTTTGCATCTGTAATTCAATGTGAACAGCATGCATTTAGGACAAAGAGAGGAGATACATTTCTACCCCCTTGTCTACCAAGTTAATAGTCCACTTGTGTGTGAGAAAATAAATTCACAAGGTTTTTAGTCCTGTCCATGTTGGGTGCCATGTTCTCCATGATAATCATTTGGCTAAGTATTATGGGAGTTTAGTGTTGGAGTCCATAAATCACTTTGTCTTGCTTCAGTGCTAGTTTAACATCAGCAAAATAACTATTTTTTAAAAATGTAATTCTCAGAAAGGGACCAAAACCAACAAAGTACAGTGTCACAGCTTATGACTGATAAGATGTTAAACTTGGGAGGGAAAACCTAGTAATACTTTCTTACATCTGTGGTGCCCCATACTGAAGGCTTCTGGCATCTAACAAAAATTATTTGAAACCAAAAGCAGCTACTAAACAGAAAAGTTAGCACATTCAAAACCAGTAACTGCACGCAGCCCAACCCCAAATACAAAGTTAATACTACACCCTGCTCCTCCAACACTGCACAACTCAGCCCAAAACATGGAGAAGAAAACTGTCTCCTCCAAAACCTATGAAATTAAAAAGGAAGCAAATATCCTGAGTTTTGCCACTGATGTAGTCTGCTACATATTGTTGAGGAAGAGCATTCAAGGATCATGGGCCTTCTGGAGCAAAGGCCTCATTCTTTCTCTTTTGAGACAATGCCATGGATGGCCAACAGTTCCATCTCTGCCATTCCTGTTTGCAATAAGGCATGTAAGGTAACATGTAGTTTCTGAGATAGATTAGTCCTAGATTATTTCATGCTTTTTATAAGCACAGTAAAACCCTGAAGCGTGCAACCAAATAAAAAGCAGCCAGTAACAGGTACACATGTGTAAGACTCAGTTTTGTGATGTTTATTCCCCTGTCTTTCTGCCCCCATCACAGTACAGGAATAAAAATTTCAAAACATTAAAATGTATTTTATACTTAAAATAGAAATTATGAAGTTGGTGTTTCTGGTTGGTTGCTCCAGTCTTAAAGTAATATATACACTGCTTTACAGTCTCTAATACTGGGTTGCTTTCATTGCCTGTTCAAATATCATTTACCCCTACGTATGGTAAAAGATGCTCCTCAGCTTGCAAACTTTTTGGAAAAAATTGCTCTGCAAAATCGGTGCAGCAATTTTGTTGCCCAAAAAAGAGAGAAAAAAAATCCATTTTTTCTGGGTTAGCCATGTCATTTAAAAGTGTTTACTTCAAAGTATTTAAATTATGGGAATATTTTAGAGCCTGATTGTGTTAGCATGCACATGAATGACTTCATGTCGGTAATCCTGCTGAATGTTAGTAAACTTTATGTGCATAGATGTTTGAAGAATCAGGTTCTTAAATTGTACATAAATGTATATTGGAATAACAGATTATTTCTATGTCTATGTTATTTTGTTCATTATTTTAAGGAATTTTAACTTTGTAAAACAAATTATATTGGTTGAAAGATTGAATTTTCAGAGAAAAGACAATTGTAAGAGGAATAGAGGAGTCTTATTTCTCTTACATTGAAGCAGTCTGAATGGGGAGAGTTAATCGTTGTAAACATGGTTTGTATGCCACAGTGTACAGTCGCTTACTATTTTCACAAGGATGAAAATGTTTAATGTTTTTTTTTTCTATCATGTTGCTTCATAACATGTTCATTTTAAAACACTGCTGGTTTTAGTCTTGTAAATCCACCAATAATGTATATAGGCTTGTTAAAATTGTTTTGAAAAAGTAATTTGTTACAAACTGGCTAATGGACTTGAAGTAATCAGTTAAGCATATTACTGATTACTTTCTTATGAAACATCCCTTATTGGCTTTAGTCCTTGATGCATGGTGTGTGGTGTACCATGAGATTGGCTGCGTTCATACCAACTGTCATAATATTGTCAATCTTTAATATGGAAAGTATAGGTTTGCTAAGACAATGACAGTATTATAGGGTTTTTTTTCCCCTCTGAAACTGAATTACTACTTTAGAGTTATAGTGTTAAGTAACTGATTAAAGTAATACATTAGCAAGCCCGTCTACATATTAATTGTAAAATTGCATGAGTGAATGACTTATATACATAAATACAATATCAACCATTTATTCTAAGGTGTGTCTTTAATTTCCAGGCTTCTTTTCATCATTTATTTTCATTTTGTTTTGTAAAAATTGGCTTATAATTTTCATGATATACCACTATTTCCCCCTTAAACGCAAATGAAATATAAGGAATAAAATTACAAGTTTCAAACCATTATTTAGATTGCAGTAGCAGCAAAAATGTGCTCAGTACTGTCCTAATACAGAAAACAGCGTTTCTGTCCTGCGCAATAATGGAAGCACTAGCATAGACTAGATGCCAGCAGCAACAAACTTTTTCACCACTGTATTGTTTAAACTTGTTCTGAGCAGTGTGGGTGTGCACATGTTGTGTCCCCTCAGTGCTCATCCTACTGATACCTTTTCTGCACAGGAGCTCCCACTGAATCTTGCTAATTCAGTAGCAGAAGTTTTAAGAAAAAGGTCACTGTAGACACAGTATGTGGGATTTCATAAAATACCTACAGGGTATAATGCTACAGCATGGATTACAAAAGGCGGCAGGAGACACTTCACTCATAAACATTTTTAAAAGTTGAACAAGCCTTGAAAGGGAGTAAAAGTGAAACAAGGAACAAACAAGCTAGACAAACTGGTTTGGGTAAAATTAGAACCAGTCTCTAGCCAATTCTGAAACAGCTCGCTCTTTCATTTAAGTTTGACTGCTAAGTATTCCAATACATAATTTTCATGCATGTTTCCTACCTCTCACTTTCTGATTTTGATTATTTTTGATGGATGTATTAACTGTAATAGTTCCAAAAAAGACTAATCTCCCACCAACCAACCTGAGACTAATCGTTTAATTGAAGCAGAGAGGAAAGGTATCAACCCTTAGCCCTAGTGCTTTCCAAAAAGCATTATTGTATACAGAGGAGACTAGGGTCTGGTCTATGCAAAAAGGTTTACCACCACAGCTGTGCTGGTTAGGAGTGTGAAAAAATCACAACCTAACGAACATTGCTATGTGGGCAAAAGCCCTAGTGTAGATGCAGTTCTACCAGCAAAAAAATCCCTTTACCTATATAGCTTATTTCATGCATGGAACTCTTGCCAGTATAAGCTATATTTCCACTTCAAGAATTTGCCAGAGTAGCTATACTAGCAAAAAATCTAGTTTCAACAAGATCTAAGCATGCATGGAAGAACCTCTGCAGTACTGTAGCAAGGTCATGTAGAAACTGCTTTAATTAAGGTTATAAAAGTTACTGTAAACCTTTTTCAGTCATTCAAACTTTCTAAAAGCTTTGCATCTTGAACTGAAGTTTTTCATGTTTAGTGCCAACACAAAGTTTATTTTGATTAACTGAAGCACACTTCAATCAAATCTGAGTTCTGTAGAGCTTAAAAAGCAAGTTTTCCTATTTAATAATAGTGCGACTTATTTGTATCACAAAAACAGATGAACTGTTACATGTGAAACTTTGTATGGCTATAGACCTTGCTCTGCAATGCACATGATTCACTACAGTTTAGAAATATGGGGTGAAAAAATTAGGGTTGTTGCTGTTTAAAATTTGCCCAGCTACTCATATTAAACACAGCTAAGTTCTGAGTTATAATTTAGCTTACCAATAAAATCCCTAGTCCCTTACTTGCTAAAAACCAGTGTGGGCATTTTTTCAAAAGTTTAAAGGAATCCCAGAACTTGGAAAAGGGATCTCCCTCCTGGACTACTCCAGTATTCTCCACCAAACTACTTTTGCCCATGGCTTAGGGCACATTGGGACATTTTGCTATAAGGTAAAGCTTCTCTGTGCAGGACACAGCTTTCTGAGCTATGAGTCCAAGACTGTGGCACAAACTTTCAAAAGAACTTATCAGCAGAAACCTTAGCACCTTCCCCTCTAAGTGCCACTTCTTCCACCTTGTCTTCTCTAATAAACATGTACATTAAACAAACAAACTCTATCAAAATGAAATACTGCACTGCACAAAATTCTCTGGGGGAAGAGGTTGAGAGCGAGAGAACAAACTACATAAGACAGACCTTAGTCATGTTCAATGTACTACTGGATCGCGCTCACGTACTATGGGGATGAGGGCGGGTGGTATAAGGGTCTATTATGGTATAGTGGTAACTGGGCCATAGTTAAGATCACATTATAGTTTTAAGAGGAATTTTAAACTTGTATTTGTAAAAATCTCAAAAATGGCAAAAAATACAAACTTTGAGCATTTTGAAATTTTCATGGTGGTTTGATAAAAAGATGAATTGATACAGAAAGATTAAAAAATCATCCTTTCTGGTGATTTTATACACAAGATTGTCCCACTTTTCTTTGTACCCCTTTTGCAAGAAACCTAAAATACTATGCAATCTGTCTTTTGGGTACATTTTTGTTCCTTGTGTATTGATTCTCACGAAAGCTTATGCTCAAATAAATTTGTTAGTCTCTAAGATGCCACAAGTACTCCTTTTCTTTTTGCGAATACAGACTAACATGGCTGCTACTCTGAAACCTGACAGTAGTGTGTGTCTATAGAATATTTTATTTCTATTTAGTCATAACACAAGCTATGTCAAATTTGAATTTGGTGACATTCGCTCTGGGAAGGAGAACATTCCTGAGCTGGGAAAGAGGAGAGCAGGAGTTTGTATTGTCAATTTTAAGTGCTCTTGCAATTCACTACCCTTATGATTGACTACACCCACAAACCCCAACCTAGAAGACAGGGAAGAGGTGTTGAAACTCTTCCCCCTCGCCCTCTGCAAGCAGAGAATCTAGGTCTCTAATATGACAAACCCCAATCTTGTCCACTGCATCACACAGTTTCCTTTCAGAGTGAGTAAACCAGATTTCCTTTTCCTCTCTGTAACTACTGTAAACCACACTCCTCTCCCAGAGCCAAGTACAGAATCCAGGATTCCTGATTGCCAATATTCTACTACTGACTGGTAAACAGTTGTGTAATCCATTGTTAGTGTGTGTCAATTCCTCTTCCAGTGGCTGTTCTATAACAGGACTAGTAATTACTGTATTTCTGTAGCTCAAAAAGTAAAGGCCTAAGCTAGGGATCTGAAGGTCAAAGAATTCAAATCCTGCTGCTGGACTATGTGAAGGCTGGCATGGTCACATGTGATTCATACAGTAAAAAGATGCCTTTAAAACAGGTTTGTACCTAAAAACTATGACAAACTGTAAATTATGGTATGGATCGCCAAAATGCATGTTTTGCATTTCACCTCTATCTCTCTCACTTTGCTTGTAGCCCATTGGTCAAAGTACGTGTTGTGTCCCCTCAGTGCCCAACCCAGAGAGGATGAGAGTCTGTAACAATTCTCATCATGAGAATGTGGCTTTTCAGCACAAGCCATAAAGACTCATGCTTTTAGCTCTGAAAGTTGTTTCAATCACTGGTGTTGGCCACATGGCAGCCATCATACTTTCAGGTGTCCATAGTAGTATGTTTGAAGGTTGAGAGGAATGCTTCATACTGGAGATGCTGCTGGCTGTATCCAGGTTCTGGAAGTCCACAACAGGCTGTGAAGTGTTTCAGTAAGTGAATGATTACACAGACTCCTTCTCAGAAGTTCCCTCCAGATGACAGGTTATATCAGGGGTGGGCAAACTACGGCCTGCGGGCCACAACCGGCCTGCCAGCCGTTTTAATCCGGCCCTCTAACTCCCACTGGTGACCAGGGTGTGGGGCTTGCCCCGCTCCAGCCAGGGAGCAGAGTTGGGGGCCGCTCCACGTGGCTCCCAGAAGCAGCCGCATAGCCCCCCTCTGGGACTCCAGCCGGGGAGCAGGGTTGGGAGCCGAGCCATGCGGCTCCCGGAAGCAGCAGCATGGCCCCCCCTCCAGCTCCTATGTCATAGGGGCAGTCAGAGGCCTTCATCCTGCATGCTGCTCCCACCTCAAGAGCCGCCCCTGCATCTCCCATTGGCCGGGAACCGCAGCCAATGGGAGCTGCAGGGGTGCTGTCTGTGGACGTGCAGAGGTACCAGACAGCGCCACGCATAGAAGCCTCCTCCTGGGGCTCAGGGCTAAGAGTGCAGGGTCTGGGAGAGAGTTATGGTGCGGGAGGGGGCTCAGGGTTGGGATGCAGGATCCGGAAGGGTGTTAGGGTGCGGGAGTGGGCTGGGGTTAGGGGTGCAGGGTCTGGGTGGGAGTTAGGGTGCAGGAGTGGGCTGGGGGTGCAGTCTCTCGGAGGGAGTTAGGGTGCAGGAGCAGGCTGGGGATGGGGGGGTCTGGCCAGGAGTTAGGGTGCGGGAGGGGGTTCAGGGCTGGGGCAGGGGGTTGGGGTGCGGAGCACTTACCTGGAGTAGCTCCCATTTGGTGTGGGGTGTGCAGGTGCAGGGAGTTCAGGTGGCTCATATTTAGCTTGTGACCCCCAGATCCCTTTTTTCAGTACTCCTACCTAGGCAGTCATTTCCCATTTTTTGTGCGTGCAGCTGATTGTTCCTTCCTAAGTGGCGTACTTTGCATTTGTCCTTATTGTATTTCATCCTATTTACTTCAGACCGTTTCTCTAGTTTTTCCAGATCATTTTGAATTTTAAATTTTGAATTTGTAATGAAAGAGTGTCATGAAGCAGAGGCACAAGGAGGTAGAGTTAAAGTTGCAACATTCATTTTAACTGGCTTCTTGACTTTGAAGGGCTTAACTCTAATGCTGCTTCAAGTGCCTACGTAGGAGACGCTCAAAAATAAGGTGTTTCGGTCTCCACTGCTTCCTGCTCCGCTAGCTTGCAAAAGATTAAGCACAGACCTCATAAAAAAATACATATATTAAAAAATCTCTAACTTTGTGTAATGCTCTGTGATTGATGAACCCAGCCACCGTTGACCAAAGCTGCCAGAATGTAATTGTCCTTGACCAATATACTTAAATTGCATTTTTGTCCTGTAGTTTTCAAAGCATTTAAAAAAAAAAAGTAAAGAAGTGTTATTAGCATATTGCAGAGCACAATAAAAAAGAAGAGACATATGAAGCAATCTGCTGGAGATGCAAGCTGATCTAGGAGATAACTCATGGGTTTAGCACAACAGAAAGA